TTCCCCCACGGGAATTTCAGGCATCATGCCGTTGAATTCGCTGAGGTAGGTGGGGAATTGCTCCGCGTACAGGGTGTATCTGATACCCATTTTCTCTAGGCCCTCGCGGAAGGGTTTGAGTAGCGAGATGAGCTCCTGGACGGGGATATTCGGTCCAGTCAGCGGGGCGATGTAGAAGGTCGTGTTGGTGAAGTACCAGATGCTCATGGCGCCGGCGTCGACGATAGTCGGGAGGAGGGAGTGGTAGAGGCCCACGGCCGAGTAGAACGTATCCTGGGAGATGTTGGCGTTGGTGAAAGTGAGGTTTAGTCCTGAGGTGGGCGTGCTGGCATGCAGCTTGGAGGTCATGGACCAGACAACCCCGTAAGTGCCGCCGCCGCCGCCGCTCAAGGCCCAATACAGGTCCTTGTATTCGTTGTCGCGGGTGGCGGTGATGAAGCGTCCCGTGCCGTCAATGACCTCCCATTTCAGGACCTGGTCCGCGGCGAGGCCGTAGCGCGAGGACAGGGCCGAGTGGCCCCCACCTTGGGAGTAGCCGCCCGCGATGCCGACGGTCGGACACTCGCCGCTGACGACCTGGTAGCCGTGGGCATCGGCCGCCTCCCAGGCCTCGAAGCCCTGGACACCGGCGCCCAGACGGATGGCCTTGCCGGAGTAATGGGCGTCGTGGTGGTCGACGATGTCGATGTCCTTGAGATGATGGGTCCAGATGCCGAGGGCACCGGCACCAGTGGACTTGCCGTTGTAGTCGTGGCCGGTGTTGCGGACAACGACGCGGAGGTTATGGGCGGTTGCAAAGGCCAGAGCGCGCGAGATATGGCTGGGCTGGCTGACGTTCACGGCATAGACGATGTAGTTGCCCAGGGTGCAGGGCTTGGCGATGGGGTGGAAAGGATCGCACGAGCCGTTGGCGAACCAGGGGGCCATGATGGAGGAGGACGATTCATAGCTTGACTCGGTTAGTGGAAGTGTTTGCTTTTGCTAGGACGAGGCTGCGAGTCAGCCTGACGAGGAAAAAAAAAAGCTTACTGGATTTCGGGCTCCGTCCATTGTTCGCGGAGGGAGTTGCACACCCCTGGTTTGTAAGAGGGATTATGGCAAGGCTTGCCGAGAGGGATGGTCTGGATTAGTCGGCCGTCGATGGATTCATTGAATTGAGCCCATTCGGCTGGCGAGGGCCAGCATTCCTCCCCGGGGAAGCAGCGGCAGGTGGTGTTGGAGGGTTGAATGGTCACGGCTGCATTCCCTACGGCCGACAGTAGGGCCACGAGGCTGGTTAGGAGAAGCAGGCCCGAGAACATGACGGATAGGTGCAGATGGAGGAAATCCGGGATGGGGATGACAGGAATGCCAGCGGGTTTATAAGAGGCGCCGTGCCCTGTGCTAGAGTGGCAGCCATCGCGTGGCAGGAAGAACCGAAGAAGAATGACCGACGCGCTAATCCAGGGGAAATTACCGAGCAGCAGCAGCAGTGAGCATCAGCAGTTGCGGAGAATGTTCCATGGTGGAAGTTGTTTTCAGATGCCATGCGAGTGGAGCACTGGGGTGGAGGCGACAATCAGACAGGCAGACAAGAGACACACACTAAGTGACTTAGCGGATACTCCAAGAGGGTCTGGTCAATCTGTCTGTCTCAAGGATGAAGCCATCTGCATCCACCAGGCAGAAAAGGCTTTGGGGTTGACTATCGCGTGGTGTTTCGTCAGTCCTTGCCACTAGAGAATTAGTCGACTAGTAGTTAGTTTGCATACTCAAATCAAGCCATCCTGATTCAGGATCCATCCGACCTGCAGCTTAAGCTCCTTTCCAGCGCATGCGTGGTTTCTTCTCGTGTCTGATCTTCTGTCTGCCCCTCTCCTCGTGCATCCGATCATCCCGTGCAAATGTTCTAGCCGGCCTCGTGTCGCGGTCGCTAGCGGTCAGGAGAAAGGAATAGTCTTGATGCTGACAGACAACTGAACTACCTAGTCGGTGATAGTCTAGAATTGAAGCGGGCGCTGGTCCAGCGGTGACTTGACGGATGGGCCGGCGGACGTTCCCTCCGGACAAATCAGGACAGGATGTGCGGATCAGCAAGGGATGATGCTTTGGGCATCCCGTGGTGCGATCGCTGTCTACTGCTGTACAGAGTAGATACTCCGCTTGTACTGCTTGCTGGTACATTGGATCTCTGGAATCATCTGTTGGTTGACTTAGGGTTGCTAGCTGACCAGTCATCTGCACGAGTCAGTTCTCCGATCGCGACTAGTTAGTTATACTAAAACATGAATAAGACCTCCCCCCAAGGTCCTAATATATCAGCATGGTCATGAATCGTCATATATATATACGCTTCTGCCTGTTATTTACAATTTCGCCTCACCCACGGCGAGACGTTGCCAATCTTTCTCACCAAACTCTATGTAACCCTCCGCGCCCGGAGGCAACCAAAACAGCCGGTCGCGGTGGCCCTGCACCACCTTCGATCCCAACTTGCCGGGCTCCACGCCCTCCTGGCGCAGCGGCCCCTTGTTCTGCTTATGGTTATGAATATGCCACGACTGTTCCACGACGCGCAAGAACACCGGCACCGCATACCGCGGCAGCTGTGCACGCGCGAACCGGGCCAGTCCCTGCCCGTCGAACCCGCTGCGCGCCTCGGGACTGAGCAATAAGGCCGCACATCCTGCACGGCCTTCATGATGAGGCACTTTCACTCCATACACATTGGCTTCCTGGATGCCAGGATATTGGCCCAGCACTTGGGCCACTTCTGCTGTAGACCTGCAAAGCAATTAGTCAACACCCCAATGACAAATAAGCACAATGCAAGGGGTAAGATAGGAAGGAAAACATACACATTCTCACTCTTCCACCGAAACGTATCCCCCAAGCGATCCAGAAAATACCACCGTCCATCCCTATCCCTCCTCAACGCATCTCCAGACCGATACCACAAATCCCCCTTGACCAAAACATCCCTCATGAACTTCTTCTTCGTCGCTGCCTCATTACGCCAATAGCCCTGAAACGCCGTCTCATCCGGCACCTTGACCAAGATCTCCCCGCCCTCATCATACTCCGCCCGCCTGGCCAGCCCCGTCTTCTCATCGCGCACTGCATCCCCCGTCTCCGCATCCACCACAACCGGCACATACGTATTCTTCAGACTCATCCGCAGTAACAACCCATGATGTCCGACAGCTCCTGCCGTGTACGGCCCGCGGTTGAGATTAAACAGCCCGAAGATCCCCTCCGTGCTGTTGAAAAACTCCCCGACCTCGGCCACCCCGAACCGGTCCCGAAACCGCTCCCACACGTCCGGCCGCAGTCCATTCCCGTACATCATGCGCACCCCGTGGTCCCGATCTTGCGGCGATGGTGGCGCGGCCAGTAGATACCGGACTACTTCGCCAACATACACGAAGACCGTGGCTTGTGAGGCCCGGATGTCGGGCCAAAAGTTGCGTACGCTGAACCGGGGCGCGATATCGATGCTGTGTCCGCCTACTATGTTGGTGATCATTGCGATCGCTGATGTCCCGTGGTACAGCGGCATCGCGCTGTACCACCTATCCCCGCCGGGGCCGGGCACGTTGGTCATGCTGCTGTTGCGGATGGCCTGGGTGGAATACAACCGGGAGGTGGTGAAGGCGCAGCCTTTCGGCAGGCCCGTTGTGCCGGACGTATAGAGGAGGATGGCGGGAAATGCGCCGGGGACGTGGGTGGCCAGTTGGCCATCGTTTGGCACGGAGGTCGGAAACGAAAGCAAATGGTTACTGAAGGCGTCGTCAACAGTGACGAGCTGCATGCCCAGCTCATTCTCGATCGTCGAGCGTCGCTCCTCGATGCGAGCCACACAATTGGGCTCCGGATCAACTAGCAGTAACTTGGCGCCGCTGATGGACAGGCAATGTACCAGCGCATCGCCAGTCAGGTTGTAGTTGATGGCGGCGGGGGCGCAGCCGATGCTCCAGAGCCCTAACCAGGCGAAGATGAATTCCGCCCGGTTCTGCAGGTAGAACGCCACTAGGTCGCCCTTTTGCACTCCCTTCGACCGGTAGAAGTGGCCATACCGGGCTGCCGTGGCTAGGGCTTCCCGGTACGTGTAGGACTGCTCGCGCGTCCAGATACAGACCATGTCGGGGTACTGCGATGCTGTGGCTGCGAAGATGGGCCACATGCTTAGCTGCCCTTGTGCGGTGGCTTTTTCTGTGTTGCGGAGGGAGCGCCGTATGGCTAGCATGCTGCGCGCATCGTTGGTGAGGTGAAATTTGGCATCTAGGTAGGCGGCTAGAGCGATGGCTGCGGCCGCTGTTGATGTTGCTGCGCGGGGATGGATGTTAGCGCTGTGCTACACGACCTACATAGTATACATGTCCACGGGGTTGGGGGTGATCACCTAACGCCATGGTCAGGCCGGTTACCAAATGTGTCGCTGGAAATGCAGTGAAGGGAGGAACTGAATGTCAAATTGGAGATAATTTAGTTTGTCAGGGCATGAGGGGAGGAGATGGTAGATAGATTTCCATTGCCGACCATATCCTCGGTCCAAGCTACTATGTATGTCTCTCCGCATCCGGACATCATGCAGGGAGGCGCCGGGGAGCAAATCACCGGTGTCCCAAGGGCTAATGCGGCGGGGGTGCGGTCAGTTTCTCCTCTCTCTCGTTCTCAACCTCGGGTCAATTACCTGGCCCTCAAATTGCTTTTTTGGGGAGGGAAAGAGAGGAATGTTTGGAACGGAGTGGGTCGCGGAGCTTCTTCAGGATCCATAATTCTAGGAGGTCCAACGTTGCGGTTCCCACCCGCTCTGGCGATGACCCAGTGTTTTGCCCCAACGGATCGGTTATTTATCTATGCAACACGTGTGCTGCGGTTACCAGGTTTCTAGCTGTCTACCATGGTATTGTGCACTATTCTGTGGCTTGGTGGGGCGTAGATCGGAGGGAAGAGTGATGACAGATCATCCAGGGGCTTCCTTTTTTGAGTCGGTGTGATGTATGCAAGGGAGAATGCCGCAGTGTGATATATACTCTTCTCGGTGAAGAGTGGTTTGCCCCCGACTAAAGTTTGTCCGGTTGCGCATGCCTGAGCTGCTGATGGTCTTGATTTCGAGCAAACAAGCAGGCTGCATCTACGTAGGTTCTAGACAACATCTCGAATTTCTCTCTCCGGGATCAATCGCGCATGCACTCCTCGTTCATCTGGGTGATGCTCCTTCCACGTCCATGCCTCGTCCTTCTCGCGTCCGTTCGACACCCCGTTCAAAGTGTTGACCACGTACTTGCCAATGGTCGGAAGGAACTTGTAGCAGTGGAATGATCCTCCTACTGCGAAATATAGATTAGATAGTCGGTTGTCTGGATGGCGGGTGATGAGCGGATGCTGGCTGGGCGAAATTGCATCCCAGCATATGCGCCAGTAGTCGGGGCGGGGATGGTCCTCGAGGAACTGTGGCAGACGCGGTCGAATGGCGTGCAGATGATCTTCTTGCAGTGCCTCAGGAACATGAACCTGGTCTGCTAGTGGCACTGAGATCTCGTGTCCGGACGCAGTGCGGATGGTGTTCCTGAACGAAGCGGCGGTCGTAAACTTGAGGATCCCCTCCGCAGTGGGGGGAATGACCTCTCCTGAGTCGGTCAGCTTGTCCACGCCAGGCCAGGATATAACCCACCTTGTCCTCCGTAGACAAACACCGGCAGCTGCGAATAGCTGGATTTCTCCTCCGATGAGAGTTGAAAATGCGAGACTGTTACTCCCGCCGCTGATACCTGTCGCTCTACTCGGTCTGGTTCCGGCAGGTCCAAGTCATCCTCCACCGAGGACATGAGCTGACTTGTCCATGCACCTGTGGCCAACAAGACCTTTCGAGCATGGTAGATGGTGCCGTCTGCTGTTTTAACACCACTGACTCCCTTTTCGTCACGAACAATTCTGCGTGCTTCCCCAACCTCATATCGGACTCCCAGCTTGATCGCTTCTTGTGCCATCAGCTGCAATGCTTTTCCTGCGTCCGCCCAGCCGGCGGACGAATTGTAGTAGTATGAGCCGAACGGGGAGCAGTCTGTTTTCTCGAGCAGTCCGCCCCATGCGTGACGGACCTGCTCTTCGGTCCATTCCTCGAAGACGTCGCCGCGACCATAATCGCGGAAGTTCTTCCTTATCAATGCGGGGACATCGCTATCTTTCTCCTCCATAGCAATCCACCCTGAAGGGTGATAGACTTGTGCATCTTGGAAGAACGGCAGCGACTTCCACGCTTCGATAGCCTCGAAACCCAGAGCGACGTAGAGAGGGTTGGTATAATCTGCACGAATGATCTTGTTGATATCGGTAGATGCCGCGGGGGTGGATGGTGGGGCGGCGCGATCCAACAGGACGATCTGTGACGGTCGCTCGAGCTGCTGGGCAAGATGGTAGGCTGTGCTGACACCAAAGATGCCAGCGCCCACGATAAGAATATCTGGGAGGTCCCGGGAGGTATCCATGGGGGAGGTGGGAGGTGGAAGATGAGTGGTGGTGATGGCAGATGAAGGTTGACAATGTGATGGACCACGTGCGGGGAAAGAAAGAGGAGAAACAAGGAGGGGGAGAAAGGCAGGATAAGCAAGATAATAAACGCATTCATTCCATTCATCGCTGGCAACCAGACAAGAAAGTGTTATCAATCCAACCAGCCAGCCATCCAACCAACTCAGCGGGATTGCATCCCTCCAGCCAAACCCCTCGATCACGCGCCGAGTGAGTCTCGGAGTCTTCCGCTTTTTATTGCGCTGAAGCCATCATGGCATAAGCATGAGTCCATCCATCCTGGCCAAACCCATCTTCCTTCTTTCCATCTCCGCCTTCCTTCTCATCATCGTCATTCTTCAAACCCCTTGGTACCCTTTTACCGGATTCCATCCCGAACTTGGGGCTTGGTGCTGCTCGCCCTGCATTTCCATCGGGCCTTGAAGCTTAGCTTCGCATAGTTAGCGATCAGGTACGAGAAATGATGACCATGCCACATGGGTGCCCCTCTGCTGTCGTGGCGCTTTCTTCACGTCCCTTTGCATTCACTGCCATTCACTGCTCTCGCCGGTCTCGGTGCTACTCGTGAACCTCATCTGCGCCTTCATTCTCTCCCCCTCATCCCCATCTCCTCTTCTGCCTCGCCGACTAAGCAGCCCCGCGAACGACTAATCACCCCGCCGTCATCATGGCGTCCTCCTCTCGTTATCAGTTGGCTGACATTCTGAAAATTAATCCTGCAGCTGATCACCACTGTCTCGGTCTCTCGCACTCTTACAACCGTCGCTGCAACAATCTGATCAGCTATCAGAAGCGTCAGGAAGCTCACTCCCTGATTGAACGAGGCTCCCGCGTATTTGCAGCTACCTCTTCCATATCCGCTGTCGATCCGCTTCTTGTCGACATCGCCAGCCTCCTTCTCTGCCCCAACCAGCACCGATACCAATTCTTGACCCTGGTCGCCCAGTGGGAAGCGAAACTGCAGCGGTATCTAGCTGAGCAGCGATCCGGCGCTCCCATCGCAGTCATGTCAAACAGCTACTTTCACATGGCCCCCAACCCCACCATCATGGCTACGGGTAGTGGGATTGCGGTCACCAACCTGACAACCACCCACCATGGGCCCGGCTCATCGAGCAGAATCACCATCCAGCATGGCATGGTCGGGATGGGTGCAAACCATCATCACCACGTGCAGAGCCCAAGACCCCGAGTCGAGATCATCCGTCCCGCGGGCGACCCTGTTGCTGCTACCACCTCGATTTCACCTTCAGCTTCCAGCAGTGCTTCCCCTTCTCCGCACGCCAATTCTGCATTCCATCACCGTCCCCACACCCCGGCTGTCCAGCTTGTCAGCAGCACCTTGATCGCTTCGGGCCATACTCACCCCGCCCATCAAGGAAGTCCGAGACCACTTCCGTCTGGACCAAACACTATATCTATGTACTGCGACTCACCTACCGCCCCAAAGCATCATCGCGTCAAGCCTCGCCCTGTGGATGGCGACTGCGGAATTTGTCTTCTCCCGTATCTGGATGAGAGTATGCGCTGCGACATGTCCGACGATGGGCGAACGGACGACGATGAGGATGACGAATGGGAGGAACTGGACGGTAAGCTCTTTTGACTTCACCAACTCTATACTTGAACGGTGCTAACATACTGTGAATGTAGACGAAGAACTTGCCGGCCCGGACTACGATCACGGCCTTCTGGTCTGGTGCCGGGGATCCTGCGGGACCAACTACCACCGGGCATGCTTGGAGCAGTGGCTCGACACCTTTGACACCCTGGAGCCGACGTGCCCGACCTGCCGCAACTACTGGATTCTGTAGATGAGAAGCTGGAGGAACTAGGAAGGAGGAATGCATACCGGGAGTTGTTATTTTCTTTTATTACTGGAATTGATATCCAACGGAACTCTACGCTTCTCATGGCTTACCGGAGTTTACACTGGGAGGGAGCAACAAGGAATATGGCTATGGATATGGAGTTAGAGGACTGGGTTTACAGCATGGCTCGATATGATATGAACAGAAATTTTCAAATGCAGCTAATAATATGTACAGCTTAAGATGCTTTTGCCCATATAGTCAAGGTAACGCAACTAAAGCCTCGCCACCCGCTTCTCACTCTCGCGCCCATTCAACCACTCGAGAATAGTCTCCACCAGCCCGTCAATTTCCTCGACCGTATTCCCCGCATGCAAACACACCCTTACCCGCTCTTTCCCCTTGGGCACCGTAGGCGACATGATCGGATGCACCATGAACCCTCTTTGCTGACACGCGGCCGCCAGCTGGCGCGGCACGGGACTGCGCAGCGAGAAGATAGGCGAGCGCGGGAAATGGTCCACTTCGAAGATAGCGGGATCCCAGGATCCAAGGCCGTCCAGACGGCTACCCAGGTATTGGATGAGGTGTTGCAGGTTTCGTTGCGGCTGGTGGTACAAGTTAGCGATACGCTGCAATCAATGGGAACTCTACTACCAGAAAGTAACATACCTCTTCCGTCTCCCCTTCCGACAGCAGCTCATACGCTGTGCGAATCGACGCCAGGAACGGGAACCCTAAAGCCGTGGTGTAGATGAGACTGCGGGCATAGTTGATGAGGTACTCTCTTGTGTCGGGACAGCAGAGCACGATGGCTATAAATCAAGGTCAGTAATCAAACCCGCTGGATCCTTAAATGAAAGAGAAGAAAGAAAAGAGATAAAGGTAACTCACCCCCATGACTAGCCAACGCCTTCCCAAACGTATGCACACGGATGAACATCTTCTCCTCGACCCCCAACTCCTGCACCACGCCCGCTCCCCTCGGCCCAAACGCCCCCGTGGCATGCGCCTCATCGACCACAAAATACGCATTGCCAGCCGTCACCACCCTCTCGACCACCTCCACGAACTCCCGGATCGGCGCAATATCCCCATCCATACTATAAATGCTCTCAATCACCACAAACACATTCTTCTTCCCGTTCCTCACCATCTCATCACCCTCCACTTCTCTCCTCAACACATCTTCCAGACTTTGGGGACAGCTATGCGCAAAGGGGATCTTCTTGCCCGCGCGGGATAACCGCATTCCCTCATGCGCACTAGCATGGATGTACTCATCATGTATGATGATATCCCCTGGTTGAGGGATGCATGAGAGCACGCCTACGTTTGCGTCGAAGCCCGAGTTGAAGAGCAGTCCGCTGGGGGCGTTGTGGAAATCTGCGATGAAGGACTCTAGGGCTTCGGCGTAGGGAGAGTTTCCTGTTAGTAGGCGGGAGCCGCCGCTGGCGAAGGGGTAGAAAGGGGGTGCTTGGGCAAGGTGGGAGGTGTAGCGGGCGCGGAAGAGAGGGGAGGTGCTGAGGGAGAGGAAGTCGTTGGAGGAGAAGTCGGTGGAGGTTTCGGGGATGAGGGTTAGGCGGCGGAGGGATTGCTTGGATTTGCGCCGGTGGAGGGCAGCGCGGAGGGAGGTGCGGAGGGAGGGAGGGGATTTTGAGGAATCCATTGGGGATGTGTGTATGTGTATGTGTATGTTTATGTGAGGGAGGAGAGAGGTTGCTAGTGAGGGTAATTGATCAATGCTTCTTTGAAGAAGAAAAAGAGCGAAAGGAAGAGGAATCAATGAAGTGAAAGAGTAGATAAATCGAGACGAGAATGAAATTGAATCCCAAACATACTAGTAGTAGTATCGTCTACTAATCTCCGGGGGAATTCAAGACACTAGATAACTAGATATACAGATAGTAGATAAAAAGACGAATGTGAAATCGGGCCAGATCTCCGCCATGTTCCCTTAGCAAACTGAACTAATTGAACTAGACTAATAATCAGTTAGTTTCCCATCACACCGGAAAGGCGTGGAGAGAGAGAGAGGGAGGGGATTTTCACACCAACTGCCAACTGACTCCCGGGTGGATCCAGCAGGGCGTGTGCCTGACGGAGTCAATTGGATTAGTAGTAGCTTAGTACGTAGTTTACCAGTGGGATTGGCATTAGCCAGCCATCTGGGTAATCTCCGAAACAACAATCGATGGGTTGGTTCATTTCATCTTCATCGTTGGTTGCCTGAGCGGCAGTTTTTGTTTCGATTGGTTTTCTGGTGGCTCTCTAGCGTTATGGGGCCTTTCGGAGCAGGCCAGGAAAAGAAAAAAAGGTGGGAAATGGATGGATACCTCGGGACGGAAGGCAGCATTAGATAGTAGCAATAACATAACAGAAATTGAACCCGTTCGGCGGATGTTGTGGGTTGACTGTTGGGGGAGATCAAGAATTCAACCGGTGGGGAGGGAAACTAACTAACTAACTAACCTGGTAGTTATTGCTAACTAAAGTACTGCCCTGTATTATGATGCTAATTATTCTGAATGTCGGCTGGATGCCTGATTGAGTGGCAGGCTGCCTGAGTGCCTCATTGATTGCCTCGGCTATTTTTCCGCCTTGCAGGCTGCATATCCCGCTGTCATCAATCCACCCTTATCTTGGGAAACCTAAAGAGTGAAAGTGACTTTCTTGATAGCCATATACTTGGTACAAAATAAAAGTACCAATTCCTTAAGCTTCCCCTTTCCCCTTGCCGCTTTATTTATATTTTCTATTCTTAATTCTTCCAACTTCCTCCCTGGCTGCCTCCAGCCATGCCCCCCGTCGGTGCCGCCCTTTGGCGTTCCCTGCGCGCCCACCAGGTCTACGGTGCCAACACCGACGTCGGCAAGACCATTGTATCCACCGTTCTCTGCAATGCCATCCAACGCCTCAACTCCCAGTCCCAGGCTGCTTTCCTGAAACCTGTATCAACTGGTCCTTTGGATGATGCAGATGACCGGTAAGATAGTCAGGCCTCCAACAATTAGTAATGTTTCAACCCCGCTCACTACTAGCCCAGACACATCCGACGCTACGCCCCGGGCACGCTGACCAAGTGTCTGTACCAATTCGACGAGCCCGTCAGCCCACACATTGCGGCGAAGCAAAAGCAGCTGACGGTGCGATTCTCAATCCCTCTGACTCTGTCGTGGTGCAATGCGCCAACAGCCGAGCAAAATGGATGAGTGAGCTGACAGCAGACAGATTCCGCGGGATGATGATATCATCGGTTCTATCCACCAGACCCTGTCCGACTGGGCAGCAAAGGGCATTGATTTTGCCCTCGTTGAAACAGCAGGCGGCGTACACTCGCCGGGCCCCAATGGCAATTCACAGGCCGATTTGTATCGGCCTTTACGGCTGCCGATTGTTCTGATTGCGGACTCCCGCCTCGGCGGCATCTCATCCTCCATCTCGGCGTATGAGTCGTTGTTACTGCGCGGGTATGATGTGAATTCTGTGTTACTGTTTCAGGATGATTATTACCAGAATCATGAGTATCTGCGCACCTATTTCCAGAAGAAGAGCATCCCCCTGGTGCCGCTGCCGCACCCCCCAGCGCGACCGCCGTCGCGGGATGCAGATGCCTTGGCCCGCGATGAGGAGGCCATGGCAGGGTACTACGATCGCGTGGCGCGGGGCACTGATGTAGCTGGGTTGTTGGAGGAGATGACAGCGAAGAATGAGGCCAGAATTGAGCGCCTGGAGGCCATGTCCGGTCGGGCTCACGAAACCATCTGGTATCCGTTCACGCAGCACCACGGGATGGCGCCCAAGGATATTACGGTGATTGATTCTGCGTACGACGACTTCTTCCAGACTTACAAGCCCGCGGAGCCTTCACAGCAGGGTGGATTGCGCGCGACGTTCGATGGCTCCGCCTCGTGGTGGACACAAGGACTAGGGCACGGAAACCCCGATCTGGCCCTGTCTGCGGCGTACGCTGCAGGTCGCTACGGTCATGTCATGTTCCCCGGGAATATCCACGAGCCTGCGTTGACTTTGGCGGAGACACTGCTGCAGACGGTCGGGAACCCGCGTCTGCAAAAGGTCTTCTACAGTGACAATGGCAGCACGGGCATGGAGGTGGCTATCAAGATGGGTCTTCGGGCGGCATGTGACCGGTACGGCTGGGATGCCAGCCAGGAGCAGATTAGCATCCTGGGCCTCAAGGGCAGCTACCACGGTGATACGATCGGAGTGATGGACTGCTCAGAGCCTTCTACATACAATAAGAAGGTGGAGTGGTACCGGGGTCGGGGCTACTGGTTCGATTACCCCCAGGTGCAGATGTCACAGGGAGTGTGGAAGGTTCAGATCCCGGAGAGTCAGCGGTCGGCCTTGGGTGCCGACCTGGAGTACTTGTCGTTGGATGCAGTGTTCGATCTGGAGACGCGGGTCGCCTCGGAGGTCGGACAGCGCTACCAAGAGTACATCCGGGGGACGATTGCAGAGCTGGTGCAGCAGCGGGGCATGAAATTTGGCTCGCTGATCATGGAGCCGGTGATCTTGGGAGCGGGAGGCATGCTGTTCTGGTGAGTTTTTCTCCTAACAGTTGCAAACAAGATAGGTAGTGTACACGCCGCATACTGACCAATCATTTAGTGACCCCCTCTTCCAGCGGTGCCTGGCTGAGGTGGTGCGCGGTCACCCGGAGCTCTTTGCCCCTGGCGCCACTGCAGGCGCGGCGGGAGGATCGTCGTGGTCGGGACTCCCAATCATCTTCGACGAGGTGTTCACCGGGCTGTACCGGCTGGGACAGCGATCGTCGGCCTCGTTCCTTGGAGTGGAGGCCGACATCGCGGTCAACGCCAAACTGCTGACGGGCGGGCTGGTGCCACTGTGCACGACCCTGGCGAGCAACGAGGTGTTCGCGGCGTTTTCGAGTCCGCAGAAGAGCGACGCGCTGCTGCACGGGCACAGCTACACGGCGCACGCGGTTGGGTGCCAAGTCGCGGTGGACTCCCTGCGCACGATGAAGCAGCTGGAACGCAGTGGGGCGTGGGAGAAGTACCGGCGGGATTGGCAGCCGACGGGGCTCCCCTCGGTGCCCCGGGCGCGACCGGAGGTCTGGAGCGTCTGGTCGCACGGGTTGGTAGGGCAGCTGTCCCATGCGCCGGCAGTGGAGGGGTTATTTGCCCTGGGGACGGTTTTGAGTATTGCCCTGAAGGATACTCAGGGCGGAGGTGAGTTTGGATCCCTGATTCACTATTTCGTTTGTTTATTGGCCGAGAATAGCCGCTAACCGGAGGGGGTGCCTCGGCAGGATACACATCGACGGCGGCCCAAGGACTGCAGCAACGGCTGGCAGCGGGTGGGGAGCATTTTGCGGTGCATTCACGCGTGCTGGGCAATGTGCTGTACCTGATGGCGAGTGTCACCTCGACCCCGGAGGCATTACGGGAGATTGAGGAAGTGCTGCGGGCGGCGTTGTTGGAGTGAAAAAGATTCTTCCGAGATCTGTACTTATGGCTTGCATACATACACGATACAAACGATGGATAGAACCAGTCACTACTTACTACTAGACTAGTATGTAGGCATAGATATGACATAACGGACAACAATGAATTGTGATTGGCATAGAAGGAATTAAGTTTTTTTTCCCCTGTGATTCCGATCCTCGTTGCTTAACAATCGCGTCTTCACCGACGGCCCGAACAGAGCCAGAATGTTTGGGTGAGAACAGCCAATCAGCGGCACTGTGATCCGAATTGCTGCAGCGGAGCTCCTTTGGTCCGTAACAAGTGGATCTCATCGTCATAATCCATCTTGCAAGGTAGTGAGGGAGTGAGTGAGTGAGGGAGTGAGCGAGGGAGTCAGTGTGGGATGCTCCCAGCAAAGCACATGCAGCCAAGCCAACCCCCCAGCCAGTTCTCTCCGAGCAGCCATCATTTCTCCTATGCCTAATTTTATCTCAATCAAGAGTTGATCCATCAATTAAACCAAATCATCTCACCGAACACAAAGTCAATCAGCTCAATCAACACCACCATCTCTTCTGAGTCAAATCAGCCAACTTGTTTACTGCTACCTGGGATGTTGTGGCCCCGCGTTGAACACCACCACCCGGTTGGGGTCAACAAGCGTCGCCCACCCGCAACACTCATGCTTAATTTCTTAATTCCATTCGATCGGCGCTGACTGGCTGGCCAACTATCATCGCCCAGTAATGTTAATCCGGTTGTTGTGAGATGATAGTGCTGTGCTGCTGCCCCTCTTTTCACCCGAGGTGTTAGTTAGCAGTATGGAGAGAGGACTCCGTAGTAACTATTTGACTAGTAATTTGTTAATTAATAGTGTGTAGCCTGGAACAGTCACTGCCTGTCTGTTCCCTCACTGTCAACAATCATCTCCCCTCTTCTCTCTCCATCTTCCCCAGTAATTCTCTCCAACTTATTACCACACCACATACTTCTCCCGCATCTACACATCTATACACAACACACACACACACAAACAAAGACAAAAAAAAAAGAGTAAACAATGTCTCTCCGTACCCTCCCCGGGGTCCTCCTCCGCCGCAGCTACGGCACCGTGCAATCCACTTCCCCCAGTGCCGCCGCCATCGCCAGCCGTATCCCACCTGCTCTGCGTGAAGCCACTGCCGCCACGGCACCACGCACCAACTGGACCCGCGAAGAGATTCAACAGATTTACGAGACGCCCTTGAACCAACTTACCTATGCCGCTGTACGTCCATACCCTTTCCCTCTCCAATCCTCACCAAATCACACGATATCGTAACACTCACTAACGATAATCTAAATATAGGCAGCAGTCCACCGCCGCTTCCACGACCCCAGCGCCATCCAAATGTGCACACTAATGAACATCAAAACGGGCGGCTGCAGCGAAGACTGCTCCTACTGCGCACAATCCTCCCGCTACCAAACGGGTCTAAAAGCCACCAAGATGTCCCCAGTCGACGAAGTCCTCGAAGCCGCCCGGATTGCCAAATCCAACGGCAGCACACGGTTCTGCATGGGCGCCGCCTGGCGCGACATGCGCGGCCGCAAGACTAGCCTCAAGAACATCACATCCATGGTCTCTGGAGTTCGGGGCATGGGGATGGAAGTCTGCGTTACACTCGGAATGATCGACGAAGCACAAGCCAAGGAACTTAAAGACGCGGGACTCACGGCGTACAACCATAACCTGGATACATCAAGGGAGTTTTATCCGGAGATTATCACGACGAGGTCGTACGATGAGAGACTGAAGACGTTGGAAAATGTGCGGGATGCCGGCATTAATGTCTGCTCCGGTGGAATTTTGGGTCTGGGTGAGAAGGATGAGGATCGCGTGGGGCTGATTTATACGATGTCGGGGTTGGAGAAGCATCCGGAGAGTTTCCCGGTTAATGCTCTTGTGCCGATTCCCGGAACGCCGCTTGGCGAGAGGAAGATGATTTCGTTTGATAAGATTCTTAGGACGGTCGCTACCGCGAGAGTGGTCATGCCGGCTACCATTGTGAGACTTGCTGCGGGTAGAATTTCGTTGAGTGAGGAGCAGCAGGTTGCTTGTTTTATGGCGGGAGCTAATGCCGTTTTTACGGGCGAGAAGATGCTTACGACCGAGTGTAATGGATGGGATGAGGATAGGGCCATGTTTGAGAAGTGGGGTTTCTATCCCATGAAGAGCTTTGAGGGGGAGCATGTTAAGGATGAGGTCAAGGTCAAGGAGGTCGAGGGGACTGCGCAGGCCGCGGTTAGTGCGTAAATAGTTAGATGAATTAAGATGATTATATTGGTTCAAGAGTTTGTATTTGAATAGCACCATGTAACTTGCTCTTATTTGGATCATCCAGAATCACATGACTGGTTCTTAATAAGTAATATGCACACCAAGTCAGTAGTCTGATCATAGAGTCTCCCACCGTCTTCTCCCGTTTCAATATCTTCCCTGATATATGCGACACCATAACATCAAGAATATCCATCTCACCACAATCAACCCAACTTCCAAATGGTTCTTCGTTCTTGTCATTATGGTAGACACAGACCTGGCACTTCACTACTATCAGTTAACAGCAAGAAAAGATTGTCCTACCAGCAGAAGCGGTTTCCCCTATACCCCAACCGGCAATAGCCGCTGGAACAGGACAGAAACAAAGTGTTTTAGTCCAGTTGATTTTGTCACCGAGAGACACATGTCTCGATCAACACACATAGCCTACATTAATCAATCCCTCGTTATTCGATCCCAGCACACCCACACACCGACCTTCGATTTTCTGGGACCCAGCAGAAAGTAAAAGAAGCACTGTCTGATACTAGTATCCCAAATCATAGAATATATAGTCACTGTTCACCACCACAACAGTAAGACAACCAAAGATGCACTAACCTAACCCATATGCAGGGTTCTCATCGAGGCAGAAGCGCGACACGGTGCTTAGGAATGTCGCTGAGCCCATCTAGCAAGGCACATTTCCAATGTATATGTGCGTCCTCGCTAAATCAATATACAGAGGACAAAGGTAAAGGCTCCTTTCTGGTATAGTTTGGCCATCGGTGGTTGCAAATTTCCAGAAAGAATGACCCATCTCGGGTTTCGAGGAAACGGGTTCAAGAAATTGCCGAATGACGGAGCCGATAGCAACTTTATGCGTGGGGTTGTTTAACCGTCCGTCGGCTCTTGTGTAAAGGCTTTGGATCAACCTCTTCTCTTGATTGAGAATGGGGGATCTGGCGACGGACTTGGTAGTAATGATGTCTTCGTCCGCTGTCACTTTCGTACATTCCCAGAGGAAATAAGGTAGATGCACACTGAAAAGTTGCTCTTTGAACAACCAGAACGCCACATGACGAGAGATTATATCTGTAGTTGCTTGATCGCTTACAGAGTGAGGGAACAGAATACCTGTCTGGTAGCCATTCCTATCTTGTGGTTCGTCGTCCAAACAGGGACTGAGTAACCCTTTCCATTGTTCATCAGTTTGTACTCTACCATAGTAGAAATACCGGTATTGTCAGAAGATATCTGGCATGTTGCGCTGGAATTGCGAGATGGCATTCCTGTCTTTTTGATCGCTTCGCTGGAGATTGAAGCTGAATATGCTAGTATATATATTCCATGAGGATCTGGTTATGTCCTTTGACAAACAAACAACGTGGCCGGCACCTGAGACGGAAGAAAGAAAAGCAAATGCAATAAGAACGCTAGGTGTATCATCCGACTTCCATTTTTAAGATACGTTACTGCTGGATAGCAGTCTCAGAACAACAAGGTTCCAGCTTGTCGTCATGTTTGGACCTATGTTCCTCCAGGTAGAAGAGAATGCTAATGCGGCGAGAGAACAATGGTTGGGGAGTAAGTAATTGCGCTCCGCAGATCAGGGAGCGGTTTGATCGACTCCGATTTAGCTTGGTAGCTGAGATCTGAATGAGGAAAATCATGTCTTCGGGATGTGCTCTTCATTATATGTAACGCAGGGGTTTATCTGTTTGGCAGTGACGCAGGAGATTAGGAAAGCTGTATCCGGCGAAGCCTATGCTGTTCACAGAATTGTCTTGAGTGCATACGCACAATGTTGAGGTTTCCAAGCTGCAGAACGCCTGGATTGAGTATCCATATACAGTGTTCTGGAACCGTCGGTGTTCAATGCGCCCCATTGTGCCGTTCTTGTTAGATTAATATATTTGGTTCTTTGATTGAGAGATCCTTTCTCGAGCGTGTTTGCAAGGTATGATCGAATCTCCAGCAGGCTAGCAGTATATGCGATGTATTGCCGTTGACATATGTTATATGAAGATGTACCGAAGTCTGCTGTCGGTTTCCTCCTCTGACTCGTCACTTGGCATCTGCACGGAGTGCCCAAGTCTGAAAGAGCTTGTAAGAAAGATAAGGATGCATTGTTGACGCTTGTAATCTGTACGACAGATTTATCTTCGCCTCAAGGCGGTTACAGGTAAAGCTTTCTTGATGAGGCAGACGGTTCCGCGATGGTCTAATTTCTGCCAAAACGAGAGGCTTTTCTGAAGGATTTCATCTTTAGGGTGTGTTGTCAATAGACAGTAGACGCCACAGTATATCAGTCTTTAATTGTCGTCTGTATTTTGCGAGTCTTGCGGTCTTGCTAGTCTTGCAAGACATGTTCCATAGACTCGGTGGTATTCCTAGACATGTCGCGATATCAATTGACGATGAAAAGATCAGTCATTTGGCTAGCTAGATTCCGCATAAAGTCATCGAAGTCCATCAGAATCTTTATGATGCAGTGGTATGGGTGTATGTTATAAGATAAAGGCATGTATGCTCTCGCTGGTGGATTGTGGCAGAGGAACGAGTTTCTCTTCATGGCCGATATGCTAATAGCTGAAAAACTGCTGCCCAGCGTTCAAGGGGAGTTGTCTGGGTCCTGTCTGGGCTTTCCTTTGTTAAACGCTCGATGTTCACGGAGTCCAAACCCTGTAGGATTGGATCTCCATACACAATCGGGCTGTCTTGAAGGTTTCTGTCATCCATCATAGCCTAAAGTCACTGCCGAAGAGGCCCCATGTATTCTACCAGATCTTGAGTTACTAATCTCAAAGATTTTATCCTTGGTTCAAGAACGGTATCACCATGCTCCAATGAACTTCCTGGTCAAGCATTATAAATGCCAAATCAAATGAAACGTATGAATCTGGAGGAAGCCCTTCCTCCTTCCGCTCCTCTCCCTCTCCACGGACGAACGTTCTTTAATTGACCCGTCCCCACAACGCCCGCGTAGCCAGGAAGACGACTCAACACTCCCATTGAGTTGGATATGTAGTATGGGTAGCGACCCGACAATCCAAATATTCTCCCAAGTCTGTAGACAGTGTATGAATATTGCCACTGAGCTATCCGGTCCCGGCAATACAAATTGTCAATGAGAGCAGTAAATGGTATACACCCGTGGTTTGCTTTGATCAGCTTCTTCGTGTGCCCGGTTCTGACTTGGTGCAAATAAGTAGGCAAATGGTGTCCTAAAGACATTGAAGCGGCGATCATAAACATTCAGTTCATAGATGATGAAAAGAGTCTTCCTTCCTGCGAAGGATGTCTTGTCCTTTGGGCTCCCTTGATTCTGTCATTGTCTTCAAAGCCAGGACATCATTCGCAGAGATTGCTTCTTTATATATACCTCCGCTCTTCCTGTGTCAATAGAGACACTGCAGATAAAGAGCGCAGGCCCACTCTTTGGCCGTTGTGCAGTTTTAATATATAACCATTAGGCTGTCATGTCCGCTTCCACTTTCTCATGCGACATGCCCACGTCCGTTTGCAGGAATGCCGACACCTCCCCGAGGTACTGGCGTTGATTGATGTCGGGCTCGCTCCAGGCATCCATGAATTCTGCACATCGTAATAGCCACAACTTGCCATATCATTATCCAAGAGAACAGGACACAGTGCTAGCCTGTAAATCGGACATAGCACAGTGATCCGGCAAGAGTTGCTTTTTCCTGCTACCTTTTGAGGCAATTTGCTAGAGCGGGAACCCCAGCCATGCTTGCAGAACGACTAAGTTGCTGGAGCATCTCTCATGCTCGATTGACCAAGTGCATGAATGAGGATTGTAACGTCGAGATGTATGCACACTTAGCATTCAAGAGTATATTTATGCTCCTCAGGATCGCGTCCTGATGCTTTCCAACCAGTGTCTCAGCGCATCTAGTCCTCGTTGGTGGCTCTTCGGGTTTTATGATCCTCCGATTATTGGATCTCTCGAGCTTGAGGAGGTATCCTCAATTTGCATATCCCCAGATTGTGTTCGATATAAGGAACATAGAGTTGTATATAGTTGACTTGCTCAAGAATGGACGCATTAAAGTCGTACTGGGGAGATACGTAAGGATTACTGCCGAGTGGATTGTGAAAGTTGCAGTTATATCGAGCCTGTCATCCAAATTGTGCAACCTAACATTGCTTCGGGCACCCCAAGAGCCGAGCTCAACAGCTCTCCCCAACCACATAAGGTAGTATTAGGGTTAGCGATAGGTGGCCAACCCCGGACCTGTCTGATCAAGAGGAGGAAGTCTTGGAAAGCTGGGTAGTATTTCAGTAGTAAGCTTTTACCAATCTTCAGTAGTAAAATCCCCGAAGAACCGAGACGAATCCAATTCTCTTGCCAACTTGAATGGTATTGAGAAAGAAGATGGTCCAGTGGGTGTATAGTTCGCATGCCACTCTAGCCATAGGTTAGAGAGAATTAGTACTACTTTATAGTGTCAAATTTACCTCTGGGAATCTCCATCTCTCCGTGCAATTGGTGATGGTAAGATAAAGTGCCTACCACCGTATGCTGTCTGGATTTGTACTACCGAGTTTGTTTGAATCGCTGTGCTTCACCAGCGCCATGACTATACATGTCGCCAGTTGATTCCATGACAGTCGTACCCCCCGGGAATTTCCAGGAGGCAAATAGCGATATAGTCTCAGGATAGGATCTTGTAGGGATAAAACATGCTGCTCACGCGACCAGTAGGCTCTTTGAACGGGTCGCTTCAATGTATGAGAAAGTTTAGTCCTATATTGCTATGCAAGTGCCGCAAGTGGCTATATGTTCTTGGATTGAGAATACAAGAATGATGAGGAAGAAAAGGAGGAGAAAGACAGAGAAGGAGGCAGATTATATAGACAACAAGGACAAAGATGCTATTCATCGCACCAACTACCAAATAGTGAAGCATGATATCGTATTCATCCTCCCCAGTCAAGACCCCAGCCCAGTGGCAAGCAAACATAGGGAATGTTGTAATTATCACAAGCCAATCCTTAATTCAATCTGCTATTCCCAGCTGCAACATGATTCAAATGAATGTGATGCATGATGCAGGTATGCCGTGACGTTGAGGGGGATCGGCAAATCCATCGTATGACGATTCCCGATCATGCCATAATCAGGATACTCTCCACTCCCTCAACCCGAAAATAAGGTGATCCTCGGGAACTCCCCCCATCTTATAAATAAACCTATAGTCTAGCCGTCACCGAATCCTCCAGCATGCGCTTCACACTTATCAAGCCAACTCAACTAAACTGAACCTCAAATCATCGCTACAACATTACCAACCATGAATATCTCAGCTTCTCCCTCTGGCTCGCAGCCTTTCATCAAGAGACCTGCTCTAAGTCCCGCGTTCAAGAAGCCTAGTAGATGGTGAGTGTCCCTTCTTTCCCCAGATGACGTATTGAATAATAGCTAATGAATACAGGTATCTCCCGCTCATGGGCGTCATAGCTCTCGGTACATTCCCTTGCGATACATGAATCAGCTCCCACCATCTAACCATTAACTATAGGCTTCGGAGTCGCCAACCACCTCGAAAACCAAGCTCGCCAGCCCCAGTTCGACCGCGAAGAAGAGGAACGCCTCCGAAAGAACCGGGCCCTGATGGACGCCTACGGCGACAAAGAAACAGTCCAAGATATTGAACGGGCGCTGGTCGTCTATGACCTTCAGTGAACATCCTTGATGGAAGGGGACAATTATTGCAGCACACTTAGCGTGGGATATGATTACGGCTTTCATGAATAATGGTGCATAAGGAGTTTGGGATTCATTTTAACTCTCCGGAAGAGATGAGGAATGGTTTCGGGATTATGGAATTAACGGGGGATTTTGCTGGTTTAGTTTTTACGGAATAGCATCTTGAATTGAGAAGCAATCTGGTTATTGCACTATACCTTTCATTTTCTTCCTTGTACAAATGATGAGAATTACCGACCGAGTCGTGCCTCCCTACTGCACTGGGGGGGGGGACTCAATTTTCAGACCACCAACCGATCATTACCCCATAGCCGCCACGGATGCGGGGATAGCCATTTTGTAGCCCACCCGCCAATCACATCGTCACACATGCTATCCCGCGCTGTATGGTGTCGATCATGATACTCGACTCCTATCTAAAAAGAGCTAGACTACCCCTCAAGTAATTCAACACAGCCCCTTTGGTAGCTGCAGCTTGAGCTGTGTGAAGGTTGCGCGTTCTTGCTGCAAAAGTAATCCAGTGCTTCATAGGCATTTATAAATTAACTCTGTTGCCTACACCTGCACTAAAGGCAGGGAATTGCTATGACCCGTCACATAGCTGTTTCACCGTAGTGTGCTGTACATATTACGGATAGATCATTCGGCTTATAATGAGCGGGTAAAATAACACCCGAACATTGCCTATGAAAGGAGCTAATGCAGATCAGTCCGGCAGTTGGCCGGGAGGAGTAAATGCCAGTCCTTATTCAGTAGAGGGCTCAAGCTGCCTGGACCATCCTAGCCCTGGGATCCATACAATATTTTCATGACTTGCTTATTAAACCCTACAAATAAAGCTCAACTAATAACACCTTATTCGTCAGGCTCCCACGCCAACACTAGATGCAGTTAGTAGACGATTCTTTGCCAATCTGCGAAACAACTGCCTGGCAATATATTTACGCCGGGGATCGGTAGCGGATTCTACCGAATCATTTCGCTGATGCTTCATATGCTCGATATGAAGTTCAGCAAGGTTATCGCAAGGTTATCGAAATAGAATGAAGAGGTGCTAAAGGTGCTGTCTGGCAAAGCTGACCGTGGTAGCGTGCCCAGACGGACAAGTTCATCCATATGAAGCGACAGGGGTCTGTTGTCCACTTCGTAGGAGAATTCTTCAAGACATTCCATAGACCCAATTCGAGGTAGGGAAAGCCTGTTCAGCTGCAGGAGGATACCTGCAAACTGTCCGTACATCATCTCCAGCTGTCTGCGATGTCTTCGCTTCTTTCCCAGGCAGCATCGTCGAAATCTATGCATGGATCCATTGTTTCTTTCAAGGCTGCTGTACAAAGAAAAAGTGATTGGATATTATGTAGTTAGATAAAGTGTATAATAGATTCTGGGTAGAAAACGCTCGGGGGGAAGGGGGTCCCGCAAGTGCTATGAATCACAGCATTAACGAGATGTTGATTGATCTGGCAAATACTACTTTGTACTCTGTAAACAAAGCCCCGCGCACCCTTTGCGTCGGCTTGCTGAGGTGAGGTAGTATGTAATCCAGCCACGGAGCGTCAAGACTACCAATTGAGAGGTTTTTGCCATCGGTAAATGCCTGCAAATTCTACGGTGACAGCCACTTGCCCAGGGTATATTGCTAAGCATGGACGTTGGCGCTTGAGCACTCTGGATTCCTGCGAGCGAGACAATGAAATGCCGTGATTTCAGCGATAGGACCCGAGTATAATTATTTCTCCTTCTAACTGAATACCATAGACGGCTGTCAGCTGGTATATACATGTGTTGGGATGTAGATGATAGGTAGAGTAATGACCAGGAAACGAGAGAATTATTCCGCGATCCAACAATAGATCTAATGAATCACACAGCCTTCCTACTCTGTCTGATTTTGGATTCTATCCAAAGGTGCTGCGGCTTCTTAAGGGCGATTGCCGTCGTATAGTTCACGACTACGTATATTAGCTATAAGAGCCATTACTTGTCCTACTACCCCCCGAGAGATATAAGGAGCTTGAGCAGCGTTTTGATTCTATATTGAAATAAAGGTTCCGTTCCTCGTATTTTTCTAGCTTGTAACATAGTTATAAATATTAAGATGGCATAGAAAGGTAGAAGTTTATCACTCTGGTACCGTTGCTTTGTACCGGTGTTGGTAGGAGTATTCCTTCACTCACCACAATGCGTAGATATCTTCCACCTCACTGCACACCATACTCATCGGCATCATCCTAGGAGCACTTGATATAGACAAAAGGACTGTTGAACAGTTCTTCCAACCTTTGAGATAAATATCCCCTTCGTCCTCTTCGACAAGGGGATCCCAACCAGAGATACCAGATCATCTCGTCTGCTATCCTCAGTTCAATCTCTTCGCATTCTCCTGAGGCTAAAGATCCTATCAGGAAACTTTTAGGCTTACTTACCATTGCTTTAGTGATCCAGCAACACCACTCAGTTATCATCATGGCTCCAGGCGACAAGAACGCAGGTCGTGACGAAGCTGCATACCGACTTAACCTCGGGGAATCCCAGGCCGAAGCTCTGAGAAAACAGGGTGTAAGGTCAGGAGAGAAGCGTGGAAAGTCCTACGAACCCAGTTCTCTCAGGTTGCCAAATCCGCATGAAGAGGACCAGCTGGAAAAGGCGGCAACCGCGTCAAATCAGAAACGGGCTCATGTTACTGAGAAGATCGCTAACCAATACAGAGATAGCAGGGGTTGATGATGCACATGTCACTGTCATTCATAGCTTGTTGAAACATGCAGGCTCCTGAATGACCACCTGATATGTGCCATGTGAGAGGAATTTATATAGGGAGAATATTATCTGCTTTTATATCACTATTCATCAGTAGTCGTCCGGCCAGAGTGTAATGTCCATGTTTGGATGACATCTTCAGTTTTACCCTAAGCGAACCAGCCTCAAAGCTTCGGTGTGTATAGATGAAGACAGCTATTTTTCGACAAAGTTAGAGCTGTCAGGGCTGGCCTATGTAAATGTACTTGGTAAATGCATGTGGCGCTGGAAATCGCAGAACTGAGGATTTCTATGGTAGACGATAGTGAGTCCATTAGAATTGTTTTCTATCACATATAATGTGGCAGTTGTCCACTACCCCAGTCGTATGATATCAAGTCACCTTATCAGAAAACATACATCCTCACACAAGGCAGGATAACATAGTAGAAGGACCTGTGTTGTTAAAGCGAAGTTCTATTAAATATTCAATGTTGCAATAATTGTTATCCTTAACGCAATTTCGCAGCGTCACTGACTCTTGCAAAAGTGATACTCGGAAAATATCCAAGCCTTGTTCACGCATTAAGGGATTTCTGTGCTACCTTATAGAGGACAAGATACAATAGAGGCCCACGAACCTAATTGCGGTTGTATGCGCTTCTGAAAGATCTCTAAGTCCGATTACCATACCGTATTTCCCTGTCTAATAGTTGAGGTCTCGGATACAGAATGATCTAGTCTCTTATCCGCCCCGGCGAAGCGTAGTGGTGTGTGGGAATCACGACAATGCTGAACAACCCAAACAATAAGCTATAGCAGTAAGCATGCTATCGGATGCTTGCTCCCTGATACCAATGGGATTCCGTTCCTACGCTGTCTTAACACTCGGGCAATTCGGGCAATTCGGACATCACGGGATTTTCGGTCGTAACGGCCGTAACGGCTCTATCGGTCATATACCGGACTGCCTGGCTGAAGGAACAGCTTGAAGATGATGCCGTTCCAATGTAAATATATAAAGCCGGCGCCTCTTGTTTGTCCTGGCTCATTTCTCATCTTTAATTTCTATCGTCCTCACAATATTATCCCGAGGTAAAGACAAATCATGTCCCAACTCAGAATTCTCATCTGCGGCGCAGGCATCGCCGGCAACGCCCTTGCCTTTTGGCTATCCAAACTCGGCCACAACATCACAATCATCGAGCGATATCCTGGTCTACGAGCCACCGGACTCCAAGTCGATCTCCGCAGCCCTGGCATTGAAGTCGTCCAACGAATGGGTCTTGAGAAAGCCTTTCGCAAGGTCACCGTCCCAGAACAAGGCTTACAGCTCGTTGATAGCCGCAACCGACGATGGGGGTATTTCCCTGCCAATCGAAGCGGGAAGGGATTGCAGAGCTTTACTACCGACTATGAAATAATGAGAGGCGATCTGTGCCATCTGCTTCATGACGCTGTCAAAGATCGCGTAGAGTATTTGTTCGGAATGTATGTGACGGAGATGCAGCAGACGGATAAGTTTGTCGACGTGGTCTTGTCCGATGGGAGGAAAGAGCGATTTGATCTTGTTGTTGGTGCGGATGGTCTGGGTTCTCGTATGAGGACCATGATGCTTGGGGGTGGGGATGATGCTAGAGATCCGGTTCACTCGATTGGGGTCTCTGCTGGGTATTTCACGATCGATAGGGAATTGGAGAAGGGGGAGGGATATGATGCGACGGTGTATATGACTACGCAGGGGCGTGGGATCATGATGCGTCGTCATAACCCGCACAAGATTCAGGCGTATATGTTCTGCAAGGCGGGGCCTTTTGAGAACTGCAGCAAGGGCGATGTTGAGCGGGAGAAGCAGGTTATGGGCCAGGTCTTTCGGGATGCAGGGTGGAAGTCTGAGGAGATCATCCGAGGTATGGAAGAGGCGGACGATTTCTATTGTGAGCGCATGGGGGTGGTGAATCTGGATAGCTGGTCGCGAGGCCGTGTTGTTTTGGTCGGAGATGCGGCTTATTGTCCGTCTGCTATGACAGGAATGGGCACGCCGTGTGCCATGGTTGGTGCTTACATTCTGGCAGGGGAGATAGGAAACCGTTGTGCGAAGGGGATTGATTCCAAGGAGGACATCGCGGAGGCTTTCAAAACTTATGAGGACAAGCTCAAGCCCTTCATGTTGAACGTCCAAAAGGGACTCATGGACGATCACGATTACATGAGCAGGCTCCCTTCATCTACTATGGGGATCACTATTGTGTATATCCTGTTTGCAATAGCCTCGTTCTTGAGACTGGACGTCCTCTCGCAATGGGTGTTGCGTGAAGATTGCAACAAGGACTGGAAACTGCCAGAGTATCCGATTATGGTCGACAACTGATAAACGTCGGGAGTTCCGGCAGTTATCCGGTATCGAATGGAATTTGTGTTGCTGCTGAGCGTGTTTTCGGTTGTACATTTAGCTTCATGTGAGATTATTTTATTGTCACGCCCAATGTAGTATCTTCTCTCCTTAATGAATACCAGTCTAACTTTACCACCCCGCAAAGAGTTGCAAGTCGGGAAAGTCGAAGTTGAAGTCGCTGCCGTAGATGGAATCGAAGCCACGATCTAAGGGTTCCCCAGAAACATCTGATCTATTGAGACTATCTCCAAAAGATGCAGAATCAAGGCCACTGGAGATAGATGCCATAGCTACCATGTCCTGCATCATACCGTAGCACGCATCCACACTTTCATGCATTGTCCTTGAAACTGCCTCCTCCTCGGACTGACCACTAAGCCTAGCTTCCGCTTGGGCTAGCATCATATTGTAAAAGATATAGACTTTGACATTAGTTTCTCCATGACATATTCTATCTTTCGCATAATGAACGACGCAGCGGGCATCTCGCAATAGGGTTCCCTGACGAGCATAATCTCTTTTTTTCGCCAGACTCGAACTCTCCGCTTCCGGATCGGGGCTGGCTTCTGAGAAGATGAGTATTGCCGCACGGGTCACAATGTCGCGAAACATGCCGCCTCCACAACGCAGGACACGACCGTACAAGTCGTCTTCGACCAGTGATATGATATCTAGTGCGGCTTCGACACCGGCCTTCCGGAAGTGACTGTATAGGGGATTAATCTTTGCCTTGATAGCAAATTTGTAGTGGAGACACAAGGTAAAGCGTCGAATGAGATGGGTGCAGAAGCTTGATGCGAATTGATCTAATGGGGATGCAGAGTCAAGTTGGTCGAGTGTGACCGAGATGTCGCGGCATGCTGAGGCTAATTCTTTACCAACCTCAAGGACCTCCTCGTAGGGCGGTTCCTCTCGCAAGTCGTTTATGAGTCTGGAGGCATGCAGACGGAGTGGTATTGAACTTGACAGTATAGGTTGCAAATTCATGGACTTATGAGCCGCTGACTCTTCCCGTTCGCCGATCTCTGGCTCGGCGTCGAGATTGTGATCGCTTGGTGGCTCAGTATTCCAGTCCCCAGTTGCGATCATTGGTAACATTCCGGAATCCAAGGACGACTGTAGGTTCAATTCTAAGATAGTGTACCGAAGTCGCCGCCTTAGTTCCTTTTCCGTGGGATCCATCTCGCTCAGACAGTTGGGATCTTGATGCAGACCCATCTGCATGGCTATCCTCATCAACGAGCCTGTGGATATCCAGATCAGATCGGCACCAACCTGATTTACTTGGCGGGCCAAAAGAAGCAGACAGTGGAGTTGAATGCCCCCCAAAGTTAAGCGGCTTTTTTCTAGTGGTGCTGAGAGCCATGTCTGGGCAGTATAAATCCACATTGCAGCTTTTGACGCCGCATCTATACGGACATTGGCATCCTGATGCAAAGGGCCTGCGATGGAGACGACAAGAAAAATTTGTAAGACTATACAAGTATCCGTGGATTCGTGGTTATTCAGGTATGTCTGGCAATGTGCCATGAAGGGATTCTTCCGAAGTATTCGGTAGCACGACTCGAATGTGGCGAAATAGAGCTGGGCCAATTCAAGGACGACATCGGGACTAGGAAGTGACTGATGAATCTGTGTCGGAAGGCTGCTACGACTAGGTCTTTGACTTTTGATACTTCGAGCTAGCCTTTTGCATTGGGCAATCTTATCAGCGATGGCATCCAAGGGGCCGTGGCTTGTGTTTCGTATGATAATGTCGTATAGGCCCATGAGAGGTTGCAAGGTGGGCAGCCCTTCTGTCTGTAACGCCGTCAATCAAAGCATAGTTTAATATTTATGTCAGCTACATACCAATGAAAAAATATTCATCCAATGTCCTTGGCCGAACACTCTCGTCTTTGACACCATGCCTCGGATCTGGCCCGGGGTTGATGCAGCCTGTTGCGATGAAGCGTGAGGTGTGTGCGAGGGTTGGCCACCATTTCTCTCCTGAAAAACATTTTGCCTCTGATAGTTGGTTTCGCTGCTAGTAGGTGGTGCCGTTTCACGATTGGCAAACGAATTGCGATTCTGCTCATATGTACAGGCTGATGCATTATTCTGGGTTACGCACTGTCGACACGGGTTGGCCCGGTCGCATCGGACTTTGCGGCGACGACACGCAGTACATGAGAACGCCGGGCGTCTGCGCTTCCTTTTATTGGACGATTCCGGACTGGCCATTGTACGGAGTTTATGATTGAAGGGTGTTTTTAGGTTGGGTGTCTGCTCTGCAGTGCGACATGAACTGCAGGATCGATCAGGGAAGTTGGTCCAAGAATGTTTGGGACTGTCGGTCATAAGCCATCTTGGCCCGATATGACCGATGAGGCTGAGCCGTGTCCGCCCCAGGCACCAATAGTGGTCGACTCGCTTTGACCGGCTTACGAAACTAGAAAATGACATTTTGCAAACGTATGTCGTTGACAATATAACCAGACGTACGTATCAAGTAGCATACTGAATTATAGGCTTTCTGTAGGCATGCTCTTGTCTCATTAGGATAGAAGGGTGTCCGGTTAAATTCCAAGGTTCATCCTCCAAGTATCTTGGGTATGGAAAATGCATAGCGCTGTCGACGCACCAAGCGGAGCACGTTTTGCCACGGATGTCCCTCATAAATCTCTCTGGCTCAGTCGCTGCATCTACTGCTCTCCACAACAACCTCATCAAAGTATACCTGCCATGTGTACGAATTATCAGGCGACGTGCACGCCGCACTGATTGTCAGCACATCCGCTGACCTGTTGGCCGTGAACTCCCCATTCACAGCAGTCCACTGATCAGTAGGTTCGAGATTATTGTTATAAAATCTATATTACCAAAAGATCATCAGCGGTGGCAATCGTATCACTGGTTGTATTCAGTCCCAAGTACGCGGCGATATGGCAAAACTCTGCTCCAGAGGCAGAAGGCTTTACTTGGACGGAAAAGTTGTAGGTTGAGCTGCGGTTGAGATTAGACAGGGTCTGGGAGAAGGAATTGGGGCTGTTGTCTATGGCAGTCGTGAGGTCGCTGTTATACACGTTAGAGAATATGGCACAAGCAAAAGTTACAAGACATACAGTGAGTAATTGCCAGTGTAGGCGGGAGTGGCAGTCGTGACTCGGGCTACATTTGACGCTGTGGTGAACCATGGCGATAGAGAGCCTGTCTCGAAGGAGGGGTTTGAGAGGATATTACAACTGGAGGCGGTCATTATGGCTCACAATGATGAGATCCAATCCTAACAGATCATCAAGATAGCTTGAGAGTATAGCGAGGAAGCATCAGACTTGTTACAAGCCCAGATGCTCTACTCAGTTTGGCAGAATACCCCCCTCACCTCATTCATCGGTTCGAATAGGAATCCTGGTTCGTGGTTAGATTGATGTCATGTTTTGCCTCTACCACCCTACCTGTGCCTAGCGGCCTTTTTAAGAGACGGTAATTATCCTCTGAACTGCGGTAGCGAATATAGAGAGGCCTCTGCGGGCAAATATCTCCATAGTGTGCTGCCTAAGCTGACTGACAGTTGCCCGAGATGAGAATGCTAATTGCTTATATTGAAGTTGTTCGAGTTGGTGGATCCCATTTAATGACCATACGTCATTGTCATCCTTTGCGTCATGTTTGTGAAATGTCTCCGGTTTATCTACCAGATCCCTAATTGCTATACAGTGGAGAAGTCCCTCGAATTCACCGATAGCCCCTACTTAATACGATAGGGACGGTGGGTAATGGAAAGGCCAAGCTTCATAGAGAAGGCTTGATCTGAACAAAATAGGTTGCCAACACTCAAAAAGGCTTAACCTCCGCAAGTTAATGCGGTTCCAGTGGACACGGCGCGTTGGTCCGTGGGGCGGCTTCGTTGAGAATTGACGAGGATCCATCTCGTCGATCCTCGAGTGGGGAATGTCCAGATATCCCCGACATGTTCTTGACCGGTAGTTATCTACCCTTGCAAAGTAGCAAGGGACCATTAATTACGCACTAGGAATAGACCGCAGATACGATGTCTCATAGCAGATCTCAAAGAACATGCTACATCACACTTCCACTAGCGATCTCTGAAAGATGATGTGGGTACTGAAGGCAGTCAATAGACCTGTGACAGGTTTGTCTCGAGGTGGGTTCTAAGCTTCGGATCGGCAGGGGAATGACGGATTCCACGAAACGCCTCACGCGTCATTTCAAGACGATCGGACAGCCGACCATGTATGAGGATTCGAACTGCTTATTCTCGGAGCAGGGCAGACCCGACGGGCTCCCGAGGTGGCTTGGTGATGTGTGAACCCGATACCAGCTATAAATGCGTCTCCAATTCACTATGGCCGACAGGATAGACAGAACCACTGCTAGCCCTCATCCCTCCATCTTCCACAACATGGGTCCTTCACTGGGCCTTGCCGCATGGGCATCACTTCTAACTGTCGTCAGTGCGCAATTCAAATGCAGCTTGCCTGCAGGTGATATCTGCGCCTACGAGAACGCCACCACCTATGCGGCAGTCAATGCGCCCAATTGTACCACCAGTGGCCTACAAGCCTTCGTGAACAAGCTTCCTGGGCTCAATGGAACAACACTGAGTGTGCCATACGCGTTCTACATCGACAGCAATGCAACTCTCGACGAGTTCACCGACTATGTCGGCGCCTCGACATTTACTACCGATATTCCACCTGTATGTGCGTTTCGAGTGAACGGAACAAATGAACAGGGCGCGACTTGGGGTTTGGGAGCGCTTCTTCCCACCCACTTCAACGGCAGTATCATGTATGTAAAACCCCTCATGCATCTGTAACTTGAGCTCCTTACTAACGACCTCCAGGATGGCAGCCCCCGACTCCGGACTCTCATGGGGTGTAGCAAGTGCAGGTCTGCGCTACGCCTTCGCCACCTTCGCCTCTAACTCCGGCCACGACGAGCCAGACCACATTCCAGGCTGGGAGACCCCCAACGGTCTACTCGATTGGAGCCACAGAGCACTGCACCTGTCCACCCTGACCGCCAAAGCCATTGTAAAAGCCTGGTACGACGTGGAACCCAAATACAGCTACATCACCGGCTGCTCCGATGGAGGTCGCCAAGTCATGAAGTCTATCCAGACATACCCCGAAGACTACGACGGTGCTATGGCGGGTGCCCCAACCTGGTGGATGACACACCAGGCATTCTACAACTACAAGCAGACAACCATCGGCGGCTCAGCCCGATCAAACTCCTCCATTCCGCCCTCACTCTACCCAGTCATAACGGATGAGGTCCTCCGCCAATGCGATCCCCAAGACAACCTCACCGACTCCATCATCTCGAACCCTCGAGGCTGCTTTTTCAACCCTGAAGCCCTAGCATGCAGCAGCAACAAAAGATCCAACTGCCTTACCGCACCACAACTGGACACCCTCCACAAGATATACAGCGATTGGACCACCTTCGACCAAGACCTCATTTACCCCGGTGCGTGGTTCGGCAGCGAGCCCACCTGGAACACTACCTTCGGCAACCCGCACTCCAAGTCATGGTACATCGAGAACGTCCTCGGCTTCAAGAACTTCACAGCCCAGGACCTGACATACGAGATCATCGCCGAGGCAGACGCGCGTGACCCCGCCCACGCAAACGCAGACGACTTCGACCTGTCGCCTTTCTTCAACAGAGGCGGAAAGTTCTTCCACTGGCACGGCATGTCGGACTCCGTCGTCTCACCGGGTTCCAGCGTGTACTACCACCACAAAGCAACGTATGCTGCGTTGGAGAAGGGTATCGATATCGATCAACATTATCAGCTTTACTTGATTCCGGGATTAGAGTGAGTGGTTCTAATTCCCCAACTTCAATCTCTAACGAAAACCCCGAAATTAGAAACTAACCAAATGATAGACATTGCTCCGGCACCCCCTCCTGCATGGCCGCCCTATGGTACCTCGCCGGCCCTTACCAAGCCGGGAACTTCTTCAACTCCACCCCCGCCAACGTCGTCGACAACTATGTTCATGACTCTTTCCTTACGCTTATCAGCTGGGTGGAGGGTGGTCATGCCCCGTCGTATATGGTTACGACGAACTTTGAAGATAACGCGGATCCGACTACCCTTCTTCATAATCGGAAGATTTGCCCGTAAGTTATTATTTTACTCTCATGGATGGATTGGGTTGCTTATTTTGGGGTTTCAATTAGGTACCCGAAACAGGCGAACTGGACGCAGACTGGTGTGTCCATTCATGAGGATTACTGGGATTGTACCTATGTGTAAATATGGGTGAGGATGTGGTATTTGCGGAGATTGGTTGTGTTCAAAGTATTTATGCTTAGATACAGATGGGATTTAACTGCTATAGACGCTGAGGCAGAACAGATACTCTCTGATTCGCTGAAACTGTACTATGTGTGATATACGGAAGAGGGTTGGTTTTCGCAATTGAACGAAACAGAAGTATTTAAATGGGACAAATGAATTCGAAAAGACAGTTCACAACACGAAGCAGGGCTATTCTAAGAGACAGAAGGCAAAGGGGGAAAGAACGAGCATAGTACGTATTTTCTAGTCAAGTGGAGAGATACAGTCTTTTTTGAATCGCACATAGCTGAGATGCAGACGTGGAGTTGAAAGAATTTCCGGCTTCAAAGCCCATTATCTCGTATATCTAGACTGTATGTTGTAAGGTTATGTGTAGTTGGAACGCTAATAGTGTAAGATCAGAAAGCAAAGAATAAACTAAACTTAATAAAAGCAAAACCAAAAGAAAAGCCAATGTAAGAATCGCAGTTTTTGTTCAAGGTATAATCCAGCCATTTATACATCCAAAACGCCATGCTCTGCGCTCATGCAACAATCAGACGCATTTACAAACGTATATCGTATCATGATTCGATCCACTTCCATAAAACACTCAGTAGTTGATCTCGGTGAACCGGTTTACCGATGCAATCGCTCATGCCCTTGGCAATGTAGCTTTCGGCATCGCCCTGCATAGCATTACCCGTGACTGCGATAATCGGCATTTGTAGGCCCATGTCGCGGATATGCCCGGTGGCGACAAGGCCGTCCATGATGGGCATGGAGACATCCATCAAAACGACGTTGTACGATAACGGCTTCTTCTTTATCTTGGAAAGTGCCTCGGCACCATTCCAGGCCCCATCCACTCGCGTGAAGCCGATGCTGCGAAGAAGTTTCAGCATCATGGTATGGTTGACCATGTTGTCCTCAACCAACAAGACATGTTTGTGGGGTGCAATGGCCCGCATTTTATCGCAGAGATCATCCCCCACAGGTGTTAATACAGGACTGCGGGGCTTTAGCGACGTAGTACTGGATCGTTCTCCTAATTTGGCAGTAAACCAGAAGACACTGCCCCGGCCTTCGGGGTTTGGCGAATATCCCACTTTCCCGTCCATGAGTTCGGCCAGGCTTTTGCAAATGGAAAGGCCTAATCCAGTCCCCTGGTATTGTCGAGTGCTCGAGTTGGCAAAACGTGTGAACGGGGTGAATAGGGTATTCATTGCATTGTCAGGAACGCCAATGCCGGTGTCTGTGACCTCTGTACGCACTAGGCAACAGCCCTCCTCTTGTTCATCCGGAGAACACACTGTGGAGACCCGAATATGACCGCTCTCGGTAAACTTGACGGCATTGCCGACCAAATTCTGCAAGATCTGACGATATCGTAGGGGATCCCCTCGAAGATTTCTGGGAAAGTCAGGTGCAATGTCCGTAGTCAGTTCCACGCCGCTCTTCAACGAGGGGCGACAATTTCGTATGACCGCTCCGACCACATCGTTGACATCAACGACGTCGGAATGTAGCGAGAAAGAGCCAGATGATAGTTTCGAGTAGTCGAGAACGTCGTTCACAGTCTCAAGTAAGAGTGACATAGAGTCTTGGATGATTGCGGCATGTTCACGCTGTGTCGCAGACAAACCTGTGTCGGCCAGCATAGTCATGGCAATTTTCATCCCATTCATCGGAGTTCGAATTTCATGGCTAATGTTAGCGAGAAAGTCTGTTTTGAGGCGTGATGACTCTTCGAAAGCAGCAATTATGCGCGCCTCTGCTTCTTTGCGCTCGCTGAGATCTCGGGTCACTTTGACAAAACCAACATGCTGTCCAAATTGGTAGATGGGGGTGATAAGCACGTTGGCCCAGAACCGCGAGCCATCGCGCCGATACCTCCAACCCTCATCCTCCATACGGCCCTCTCGCAAGCACACAGCAAGACCCCTTAGAGGCTTTCCTGCCAGACGATCCTCCGGGCTATAAAAGACAGAGAAATGTCTGCCAAGGATCTCCTCCGCTGGCCATCCCTTCATAATGGCAGCGCCCGGGTTCCAGGTGGTGATATTGCCCTGTGTATCCAGCATGAAAATGGCGTACTCTTTGACGGTATCCACGAGGATCTTGTAGGTTTCGTTTGTATAGGCATGGTTAATGCTGGCGGTCTCCACCGATAGCTTGTGCGCCTCCAACACAATGTAAAGCAGGGTAAAGTCGTTGAAAATCGGAGTAACTCGGAGGTTGTACAAAGATTTATCGCTAGACACAATTCTCTCGACTATCTGAATTTCCTTCGTCGAGCAGGCTGCACGCAATGCGCCACAGAGGATAGCGATATTAGGGGCGGGTACGGCAGCAGGGTCGAGATCACGAACGGTCGCATGCAGCATGGATTGGCGCGTCTTGCCGGATAAAGCCAGGTGACTATCAGAGACCTCGACGATAGTCATAGATGAATCGAGGACGATAGTGGGAGTCGGAGTATGGCGATAGATGCATGCCAGAGAGGGAGACACCGCTGGGGAGTCATCGTCGGGCACACGTACACTGTGTGTTGTCGCGGACTTCTCCTCGAGGGAAAGAGCGGCCAAATGGCCGTCGAGGAACATTGCGGCTCGTTTGGATAGACATGAGAAAGGGAGAAGAAAGGAAAATAGTCAGATCTTTTGTTCCTCTTCATCGCGTGGCGGAAAAGTCACTGTGAGTGGCGGAAACGCAGCCGGGAGCAGAACCACTCATGACGCTTCGACTGCGCTGCCATTTGATTGGTGCAACTTGACTTGGAAGCAGCTTCCGATGTCCACTCCAGGCGATCGCCCCTGACATCCCCGCCTCCACCCATGGAGTCAAGTTGTCTAGGCCATCCGAGAGCAGCTGATGAGTAGTCTAACTTGTGTTCGCTTAGAGCGAGAAAAGTCCGTTCTTGGTTGACGGGTGGCAACCGACTGACTATGTATCTCCTCTGTATCGATGCATATCTGCTTCATCGTGCGGGGACAGGGAAAGCATGGCAGTTGTGTTGAGTCTTTCAGAACGAGTCGACGAGGGTGTGGGTTAGAACTAGCTGCTACTTTTGAGACGTTTGAGCTGTCTGAATTGTTTGACAACTGCCGGTGGCCCATTGGGCCCAGCCATCGGAGCACCAAGCCGCCAATCATAGCGCCGTCGGTAGCTATATCTTGCTTGCTAGAATGGTTACCATGGATCGGAGCAGGTTTGGCTACCCGCTAAACCTAAGCTGCTAAGTTTTCCTCGCCGAAAAGAGTAAGACCACGAAGCCTCGGATGACCGGGAACGCCCAAATATTGCAGCAGATCCGTAACATTAGACGAAGCTACTTATCCAATGCATTTAAGCAAAATGGCACTCTCGACCATAGGCCACAGTAGTGTGGCCCCTCTATACCCTTCATGTTGTGAGATGGGGAATAAGTCCGCTCTCAAGCCATGCATTGCTCGATTGAGACCGTGTTCATCGGCTTGGAGCGCCCAAGTTCAACTCTAGGAAAATATACTGTCTCGACATCGCATGCCACATGGACCACGTTCCTTCTGTTGTCCATTAAGCCACATTGGCATGATTGTTGTATTTGATGCCCGATGCACGTCGACTGAGAGGACTTACTGTCACTGTGGCTGCTATCGGTTGGGGAATCATATGCGTACTACTAGACAACATCTATACTAATATCCTCACGCCCGCACTTTGTCCGTTGTACTCCCAATTATGAAGCATAATTAAGGAATGCGGGGAGATAAATAGGGCTCGGACATTAACAGATCCTAACATCCGGGGGACTCCACTTCCGCGGTAACTTGCCCAATCGGTCATGTACCACAGCATACACATGCTGTCCTTGGGCGAAAGTATGGGGTTATAAGTCAGTTTCACCGTCAGTACGATTATATCCACGTGCGCGCTTTCTTGGAACGCGTCAGAAGCTCACTCGTGTGAACCAAGAACTATGTCATTGTCCACATTCTCCATGTCAACGGTCAGTGGGTAGAAGCTGCTCCAGGAAAGCGCTCAACGTAACAGGTACATGGAATCCCAATGTAACTACTAGCATTTGGTCCAGTTGTTAACCAAATGATGCGTTGTTGCTACCAGATCCCGAGAACCGTGAATTTGTCGGATTATATCCCGTAGTCAGCCGCTATTGATGCTGAGCAAGCAATTCAGTCTGCAGCTGCAGCGCTGGCGCTCCCGGACCGGTCGTAACCGTAGTCGGATCCTTCGTCTATGGTATGAATTGGTTCTTGAAAACAAAGAACATTTTAACCCGTCTCCTCACTCTGGAGAACGACAAGGTTAAGCCGGCTGCCACTGGGGTAGTGCTCTTTGCAGCAGGTTTCCTCGACTGGTCTGCTGGAGAAGCAACCCGAATTTACGGAGATGCTATCCCATACAGCCAGCCCGGTTTCGGATTCCTGTTCTGAAAGAGCCAATTGGTGTCTCTGGGCTAAGCTACCTCTTATCTTGTGTATTCTTGGGCAAGAAGGGATTATCCATACTACTAGAACATGCAGTGCGAGTGAGCCGTTGTGTATCATGGATTGATATTTTTTCCTAATATAAATAAATAACCTTCGTGTACATGATATAGACCCATTCGCCTCAAAACACGCTGCAAAATCCCATAAAGAAATCCCAATAACAAGTCACCGGCATCTCAATGTAAATTGGCTATCCGCTAATTCTGTGACTGAAACTGATGAACAATGGTAGCAGCCGCGCCTTCAAAAGTGATACCCCCCAAAATCATAAAAACAGGCACATCAACGCTAAATGTCTTGCCAATCCAGTTACGCACCTCAATGGCAGACAGCGAGTCGAGACCATACGAATGCATGGGCCGATGTAAATCCAGTTGGCCCTCTGGCACGCCCAACAGCGCCGTGATACGGGCAGCGAGTGCTTCGCTGACAAGCTCAGTGCGCTCATTGACTGACGTGGCGGCCTCCAATTTAGCAACAACATCCTTGGCTTGTCTCCCAGGCCTTGGACCGTGCACATTGTCCACATCCCCAGCCTCGCCAGCCAGCAATGGAATATGATGCATGTGCTGCCAGAACGGCTGGCTCAACACAAACGAGACTTCTTCAAGGTGGCACCAGTGAGATGGTGGACGAAGGCCGACAATTGGATGGCAGGTGCTTGGGTGCGTGGCCAATTTGTTGGATGGATCACAGAAGATTTCGAGTAGAGCAACAATGTCGCGGATATACGTAGGCGTGTATTTAGCCGTTTCGTGGATTTGTCGTCGTCCGGTTGCGTACTCGGCATTGGTGACTAGGTAGCCTGCGTCGGGTACAGCGCCGAGGTTGAAGGAGATGGCTCGCTGGCCTTGGGACACTCGATAGCGCGCCAGAGCATCTTGGTAAGTGTTTCCGGCATTGTATGGTGCTAGAGAGCCGGTACCCAAAGTGCCCATGACGGATGATAGCATGATGAAGAAGTCCATATTCGATGGAAGCATGGCGTGTAGGTTCCAGGATCCTTGTACCTTTGGCTGCAAGGTACCTTTCCAACTAGAGAGTGATAGTTCGGAGAATATGCCCTCCTAATAACCTTGTCAGTAATTTCCCTTAGCGTACAGTGGTTCATTGATCGATCTTACCTCCATGACCATGGCGGCTTGAATACATCCCTTGACTGGTGGCATAGTTGTTGAGTACTTGTCGAGTAGCGCTCGCAATGCACTGGGATTCGTGACGTCGCACGCTGGCATTTCACATCGGACACCGCGATCTTGGAATTCCAATGCCAAAGACTGCGCCTCGTGTGTCTTGGGACCGGATCTTGATAGAAGAACAAGATATTTAGCGCCATTATGAGCCAGCCATCTTGCTATGGATCGGCCGACGCCTCCAAGACCTCCTGAGATAATGTACGTCGCATTCGAGTCAATATAGTCTATCTTCTTGCGCATAGAGCGAACCTGAAAGAGCTATTAGTATATGTATATTCTAACATGCAAGATATGCGTGAAATGAGTCTGTACTCACGTTGACCGTATCCGATTCTGTCAGTTGCACTACAGCAGCATCCGAGCTAGTAGACTGCTTCAAAAACGCCATTATCTCGTCCAGTCGCGAGATCGAAAACCTAGGTACCTGGGCTAGTGAATCTAGAAGCAACTGCAAGATGGGTGTAGAAACAGCATATTCCAGAGACTCTTGCGACACCTGAAGCTCGTCGCTAGCCACGAAAGACACGTGAAGAGAAGACGAGCCAAAGCGAAATGCTGACTGGGATGCGTCATCGGAAACGAGCACCACTCGCCCATTCTTTTGCATCATGCCTCTGAAAGTCTGCTCTCCCAGTCCCTTTGCGACTGAGGTGGTGGCGAATACAATATCAAATTTGGGCTGAAGCTCTGACCATGTCGAAGAAAAGGCGGATCCCATAGCAGATGTCGGTATGATGTGTTTTTCGGGGATATTGAATTTTTTAGAAGCCCGCTGACAATCTTCAATACTGTCTGCTGTCAACCATATCTCCGCAACACCCTCATTTAAAAGCAAGCCTACTGCGGCTTCTCCTAAAACGCTGCAACCATCCATGACCAAAACACAATCGCGGTTTCGTACCCGACCTATATCCGACAGAGCATGATGAGCTGTCAAGACAGGAGGAATAGCCCAGCACGCGTCTTCAAAGGATAAATAATCTGGTAGCTTAACAGCGGATGAGGGCTGAACGGCAGCAACGGAGCGGAAACAGTTCTTGTGTACAGCAAAAACCCTATCCCCTTGTGCAAAAGAGGATCCAGATAGTGTTTCTGTTACGATTCCACTGCAGAAGTTGCCAAGCTGAGTGCCCTTTGGAGCCAACCCTCGGGCGGCTAATTGGTCTTGATATTGAAGCGAGATAGCTCTGACGTTAATTGGCAACGCATCGTCAATAATTGGAGCCGGGACCTCGACCAGGTACGGAATGCCGTTATTATCTTCAGGGCAAGCCGCTGATAGCTCAAAGCTTGCATCGATGGCATTGGCAGAGGTCATTTGCCAGGGCAAAATGTTGGATTCCATATTGGATTTCAGGTATCTCGCCTCGACAAGACGGCGAGTATGTAAGCAGCCATCTACCTCAATGTACTCTTGTTCGTATTCCTGAGATGGCTTCCGAGACAGCATCTCCCGTACAATCTGCTTGAGATGTTGTATGTGGCCTGAGGTGCCGTTGCGATTCATATCGAGGGCAACAGAGACCAGATGTAGACTATAGTTCTCGGCTCGCAACGTTCTTGAAAGACCATCAATTAGCCCATATTCTGGTGCTGCCGACTCTCCTCCTCCTGCCGAGACCCATAGCATTCCAGGCCATGCCTGAGCAAGGAGTTTTAAAACCTCCCAATCTTGCTCAGTCATTGAGCTGAGAAATGGTGCACCGTAGTCAACCAAAGCAATGCAAAGACTGTTTGAGGTGACGGCGAGACTTGTCGATGCCGCAAGCATGTTCGCGTCCACGATTTCAAGGGGATCAGCAAACATGTCTTGTAAGGATGCAACTAGAGACGCGGCAAGAAATTGCTGTTGAGGGAAATTGTTCAGCTTGACGATGGTACCGCTATGATACGTTGGTGATGCAAGAGTTCGCGGAACGGACGAAGGCACGTCCACAGCGGTAGAGATGACACAACCAAGCTGATGAGCTGGACCGTCAAAATCCTTGAATACCATATCGACGCCTGAAAAGCCACAGTTTTGCAGAATCCTGCCCCAGCCTTCCGCGCTCCACAGCGGTGACAGCGGACGGTCAGCTTCTGGTCCAACCCACCACCCAGGGAAAAGTCCAAAGATGAACCCAAGCGCCCAACCATCGGGCTGAAGGAACTCTGTCAGAATCAACTTGCCGCCAGTTTTCATTGACTTTCTGACGTTACGGAACGTATTTTCCAGGTCGGCGGTAATGTGAAGCACGGCGTTTGCAACGACAACATCATATGTCCCGTCAGAAACTCCCTGTTCGGAGAAGTTCTTCTCGATGTCAAGGGTTTGGAAAGACATTTGAGATTCATGATCGGAGAACTCGTCCCGCGCCTTTTCCAAAAATGTCGCCGACACGTCTGTGAAGCAGTACTGTTCGCATCGAAGGGACCCAGGTGAATTGGATGATTCTGACACGCCAGAAGGGCCATTCATAGAAAGTGCGTTAATCAGATGGCGAGTTGCAGCTGCAGTGCCTCCACCTACTTCCAAGAATTTCATGCCGCCGTTCTGGTGGGCGAGCAGATCGACAAACGTTGTTGCTTGCTTCATGCATCTGTAGGTCATCAACTCGTCGTAGTACTCTCCGAGAAGCCCGGTCTGCATGAGAAGGTCTAGGGGCGTTACACTGCCCCTGAAGAACTCAACAAGATGCAAAGCCACTTCGGCATAGAGACGTCCCACCCTGTTCGCAGACTTAACCCGATCACAGACCGTGTCAATGCTCTCAGTGAGCGCAGGCGATGCATTGAGGCGACCCTCTGTAACATGGTAATTTGCCCAATGCCAGTAGCGCCGCTTCCAGTCACCCTTACCAGAGTCTGCCGTAATGACGCTAGGATCATCAGATGCTAGAAGCGCGTGTACAGAGTGGTTGATAAGTAAGGTCACATCTTCGTAAAATGCTGTCAGATCTCCAGGTTCTGGGTGAACCTTGTGCAGATACTCGGAAAGCTGACAGTTGTCAAGCTTGTCTATAGCCAGCTTTTGCTCAACATTCATACAGAACTGCTTCGGGTCTGCCACATAATCAAGCGAAGAAGGTGTTGAGGTAATGTTGGCCAGTTCAAAGTCTTGAAACCATACTCGTAAATTGTTGGCTCTGTCAGCAGACACCGAGCCTCCCGCGACGATAAATCCACGGCCAGTCACCGATGTAACTTTTGACAGGCAAGTTAGACGGTTGGCCTCCGGGGAGCTCAGCCCTGATGCAGACAACCAGAGACAACCAATGCGCGACGGCACGCTGGTTGCCATGGATGAACGACCGCCCGACGTCAAAGCTGTGAAGGCAAGATGAAAAATTGCGTCAAGAGATGCGGGATGAACAACATGCTCTTGATTAGGCGAGTTGTACAGACTAGTCGTGGCCGTAGCATGCTTCAGAGTAGAGTGAATACGCTGTTCATCGCATCGGGCGAAGATAGGACCATACTCATACCCGGTTTCTTTGAGATATTCGTACATTTGCTTGGCTGAAATCTGTTGGCTGCATGCGCTGGCGTGGTCGAGAAGAGTCTTGGCCATGTTCCTCTGCTGTCGCGCTTCATGATCGGATAGCCATCCCTCTTCCTTCCCTCGATGGTGGATGGTGATGTGCCCTTGACAGTTTTCAGACCAGTCGTCATTGCCAAAAGTGCGAATAATGAATGAGAATTTGGATGCTGAAGAACGGTCTTGCGTTAGCTCCTCGCGAAGAGAAACTTGAGCCTCTGGTCCGTCGTTGGAGGCCGTGAAGTTGATTGGAGTCTTGAAATGAACATCTTCAAAAGTGAATCCATTCACGGTATACCCTTCTTCCTCACACAGTTCCTTACCTGCTTCTATGGCCATGACAAGCATTCCTGTTGCAGGATACAACGTCATACCATTAACGATATGATGTTCAACCCAGGGCATATCCGACAAGTCCATCTTCCAATTCCAACGAGCATCTGAGCGATTCCAATCATTTGATCTGGTTCCATGAAAATCAGATGGTCGCTTAGATCTCTGCTTGTAGCTGCGACTTAGGCGACTATCGTGCCAGTATCGCTGTGAATGGTCAAAAGGATACTCTGGAAGAGTTGTCAACATACTTCGACTCATCACGCTGCCTGACGGCTCGTTGATGGCTCTGAATTGGAGATTCACTCCTTCGCAGTGCAACTGGCCAAGGGTGCTCAGAAGTGTGTCCACGGCGCTCTTTTTTCTGTAAAGTACGGCATTGTATCCAAGCTGTCCGCGAGAGCCGGTCTCCAGGATGTCCCGTAGCGAGGACTTCAAGGTAGCATGGGGACCGATTTCGAGCAGTCGGTCTACTGCTGGGACCAACAGATGACTTTGGTCCAGCTTCTTCGTCACATCTTTGGCACCTTGGCGGCACATGACCGACACAGCTTGAGAGAACTGCACTGGCGATACCATGTTGGATGCCCAGTATGACGCTTCTGCCACGGAAGCGTCGCTAACGACTTTGCCAGTCACGCTGGATACCATGGGAATTTCAGATGAGAACGGCACCATGTCGTTGGCATCCGCATAGGCATTGATCATGGACACATAATCAACTGCAATGCTATCCATATGTCTCGAATGATACGCAACTTTGACGCGAAGCTTGCGGGCGAAAATCTTCTGTTCCTCCAGAACACCCTGAAGATAGTCAATGGCAGCATCGTCTCCGGAAAGAGTAATGCTTTGAGGGCTGTTTATACAAGCAATAGAGACGCTTGAAGCGACGTGGCCATGAGCAGAGAGTAGCTCTTTTCCGGAGGCCTCAGATAATCCCACGGCCATCATAGCACCAGAGACGCGCTCCCCGGAATCGGCCAAATGTCCATCACGGTCCAGTTTGGCCGAACAAACCCCTCTAAAGTACGCCAATCTCCAGGCTAACTCTAGTGAAATGTGGCCGCTGGCGTATGCTGCAGCGATCTCACCGGACGAGTGTCCAACAGCAGCAGCGGGCCTGACCCCAAATCGCCGAAGCAAGTTGACTAAAGCAACTTGCAAAATAGTGCACAACGACTGGCTGAGCTCCGGATTTTCAATGTCATTGGACGGGTCTGGGTACACGATGTGGTTAACAACAGACCAGGCGCATCCTAGGCTTCGCAGATATGCGTCAGCCTGCACCAACTCTGTTCTGAAACTCCCATAGCAAGCTAACTCTCGGCCCATGCCTTGCCACTGTGCTCCTTGTCCGCTGAAGACAAAGCCGATTCGTGGTGGCGAGTTTGCCTGCGCAGAAACCGGTGTTGACATGAACGAGGAGATGTTTTCGAAATCTTCAATCGTGTTCATCAAAGCAAATGACCTCCATTGTAGATGACTTCGATGTGTATCTAATGTGTAGGCCACGTTGGCCATCAGATTTGTAATATCATTCGTAGCATCGATAGACTCTTTCCCACCCTGCTGCCGTAGTTGCTGGTATTTCTGTAACAGTTGCTTGATAGCAGAATATCCAGTACTGTACTGCTTAATGATTCTGCCAATACCATCCTTGTCTGATGCAGACCACACAAAGAGTCTTCGTACGTTTTCTTGTCGTGGCGGCGTCAGTGCAGGACTCAATGGCATCGTGTCGGACTGTTCCCGAAGCTGAGGTGGGCGCTTCGCCGTATTATGTTTGCCGTTGAGGCCACGAATCCGAAGATAATTATAGGCGTCGTCAATAACGATATGCGCATTGGCACCTCCGTATCCAAACGAATTGACAGAGGCTCTGCGGAGACCATTTGCTGGCCAAGGACGTGCCTTTTGTGGAAACTGAGAGAAAGGGACTTACGTGAGCCAGAAGTACATTTGCAAAGATGGCAACTTCTAGGGCAAGACTTACGGAAATATTCAGAAACTCAACGTCAATTTTGGGGTTGACTTTCTCAAAGTTAGCATTGGGAGGGATAATCCCCTTTTCCAAGACGAGAACAGCCTTGATCAAGCCAGCCAGTCCACTGGCGCCTTCCAAATGACCAACATTCGACTTGATGGCACCGCTAGATAATTTGTCAGTCAACGATATTACAGAGGATGTAGTGATGAGCAGAGGTGCCTACACATAAATAGGGTCGTCATTGGATCGATGGTGCATGAAAGCCATGCCAATTGCTTGAGCCTCGCGAGGGTCACCAGCAGGCGTTCCAGTTCCATGAGCCTCAAAGAATCTTGTGTGCTCCATTGAAAGACGAGCCTGCTCATATGTTCTCTTGATGAGCTCTTCTTGAGCCTTGCGGTTTGGTTGTGTGATGCCAGGAGTGCGACCGTCTTCATTGCAAGCTGTCGCGCGAATGACAGCGCGGATAGTGTTACCGTCTCTAACGGCATCTGATACTCGCTTGAGAACAGTAACAGCGAGACCCTCGCCTCTAGCATATCCATTTGCTCTCTCATCGAAGGAATAGCAGCAGCTGTCTGGTGAAAGGAACTTGACATTGGACATCCAAACGTAGGGCTCAGGCGCACTCGCCATATTGGAGCCAGCAACCAATGCCTGCGGATAATTAGTCATGATTTCATGGAACGATGAGGCATGAAGTCTCGGACGCACCATGGAGCAATTGCCGTTTCTCAGTGCGGCGCACGCTGTGTCCAAGGCCATGGCGGAACTAGAACATGCAGAATCGACGGCCATGCTAGGCCCGCGAAAGTTGAAGAACCAGCTGATTCTATTGGCAAGCATGCTGAGACCAAATCCTAGTGCTGCATAGGGAGGAGGAACCTCGGCGCTGCGAACAAGTTGCAACATGTAGTCCATTCCAAAAGAGCCGCAGTAAACGGCTGTCGGCGAGCCGTTGACATGTTCCATCGGGATACCAGCTGTGAATGTATACGTAAGCGGTCTCATCGTTGCACTGGTGGGATCTGAGGCTTTCTTACCATTTTCCAGCGCGTGGTAGGAGGCTTCTAGTAACAGTCTTTGCATGGGATCCATAGACGCTGCCTCAGTGGGCGCAATCGAGAAGAAGCCGGCATCGAATTCGGCAAGATCGCCTTTGATAAAATGACCGCCTTTTAGGGGCATCTACAACAGTTAGTGCCACTGTGCAAATGCGCATTGTTAGGATTCGAGTCAGGGTAAAACTTTACAGTGTTTGGCCGCGATCGTTGATCGTAGAAACCATCGACATTGACACGATCAGCTGGAAACTCGGTCATCGCACAGCGTCGTTGCAGCATCATATCCCATAGGGTTTCTGGAGTAGTTGCATCCTGTGGAAACTTTAACGAGAAGCCACAAATAGCAATGTCATTGCTGTCAATGCCGTCCAGCTCCGACAAGGTAGTAGTAGGGTTCTCCATTTTGCCCAACGATTATGAAATATTACAAGCGCGACGGCTCTGAAAATATATGTACAGAAGAAGAAAGAAAATAGCAATGGAATTGTGAATCGCCTCAGTCGGCGATATCCCGCGGTTGTACCCCAAGTCTGTAGCCCGCAGGCAGGGCACAAGTAATATACGCCAGGTGCCAAACGAAAGCGGTGGATAGTGACCGCATGTGCTATAGTAGAAGGTTGGCAGCAAGGTGAAATGGAAGAGGCGCGGAGATTGACAAAGGTAATACAGATAGTGCAAAAGCTCATTAACATAACATCTGTGCAAGTAGCTAAATACATTGGGAGCCTCCATAATACGTAGTTGGCTGTCAGCCCAAGGCGTCCATGTCAGGACGAGGCGCGGCCAATCGCACGTCGCATCATATGAACGGCCTCGGTCAGCTTGGATTGTCGAGGAAACTCGTGACCACCTTCATGAACGGACACAAAGGCTTGCGACGGATCGCATAAGCTAGCCATATTAGCCCCACCGGTCGGAGCAATCAAATCATTCTGGCCCCAGATATGCGCGGTGGGCAGTTTAAGACACCCTGGGGTGGGAGCAAGGCTGAGCTGAGCGAGTTCGGCGCCGCTGGAGGCAGTGGAAAAGAAGACGGCAAAGCGGAACGGCAGCGGTTTCCCTTGTTGCCAAAGCTGTAAGAGGTACAGGCCAACCAGAACGGCCCCCGCCGAGAATGCCACCACACCGTCGAAGGGCCCCTGGTCGTCGACGTAGCTGCTTAACTGGTCCAGGGCCACAAGGAGCGTGGCGGGGTCATCCGGATTGTAGAATGCGTAGAAAGCTTGATCGGCAGGCGTTGCCAGGCTTTCTATTCCTGTATAGCAGTTAGCGAAGCAGTTAATATCTCTTTTTCATTATGAGCCGTACCTTCAGCCATGGGAGCCTGCAGAGTGCCTTCGACAAACTCAAATTCATGGTCATCTTCTAGCTCGTGGATGAGTGGGGCTGTGGTGGGTGCTAGTTTAGCGTACTGGAGTTGCTGAGAAGAACGGGGGGGCGAGAGTCAACCTTACCGGTCTGCAGCTTCATTATCTGTGATGCAACGTAGTGTTAGGCCGGATCTGTTTCTGCTTAAACGTAAAGGGCTAGGCCTGCGGAACGCAAGCTCGCCCGCCGAAAGTCCAGAGGAACAATAAAGAACTAACTTACAGCACTGTTGGTGCCATTACCATGAAGGCAAATGATCCGCATTGCGCGGGTTTCAGTGATGCAAGTGGACGTAAGTTAGTGTTGAGAGTTGGGAGACCGACGCCACGCTTTGTGCCAAGTGTCACTTGGAAAGGTAATTACTGTGCAGCAAGGTATAGCATTTTATAAACGATCATACGCAACATATATTCCGGTTTAGCTCGGTGCTTTTATCAACACATCCACTCTGCGCGCTAACGTATTTCACGAGTGAGTGTGACACTTCCGTTAGCGCGCCTTATATGTAACTGAAAATTCAAGTATATGAATGAGACCTATAAATCGGAAGATATATCTTCTCTAGATTTAATAGCACCTATAGTGAGACTATACGTACAATCCTCATTACGATATTTTTATTACATTCAGAGATATACTAGAGTTAGATGTCCTGATCTACTTAATAAGTCGTCCTTATATAGGAATGTAATTATCTGATCAATACAGGCTCTTATATTTAGCCAGCGGCCAGGAACTGGGAAAAGGTGTCAGACTCGCTTGTGAAATTAGTAGTTAGTTAACTACGTGCCGCGTCGTTGAAACATCAGGTAGTAGAACGTTCTCCGGGCCAAGAAGTCCTTACACATCAATATAAACTTAATTATCTTCCTAGACAAGCTAGCAGGGATATCGATCCTAGCGTTTCAGGCGGCACGTACTAACAAAACACCGCGGGGAACCGTAGTATTGTTAGTACAGTAATACATCGCTATCATGGGCGGATCAACAAGGCTGGCCAGCGGCATGATTGGCCCCGTGCGTCCGTGTCTTTGCTGATCCTTTTGGGGGCCGGACCGTAAGCCTGCAGACAAACACAGCCTTTCAGGGTATCCCGCCCCCTCCTTGTCATCAGAATGTTGCTGTGTTCATTCACCAGCAATGCAGGAATGCAACTCGCCTCCGCTCACTCTTACCCTACGAAAATTAGTAGCGTCTCCAAGGCTCCTTTTTGAGGGGAACAACCATGACCACCTGCCCGCCGCTGGCGGGTAATCTGCCTCTCAACCCCACCTATCTCAATGAGGGCAAATCTCACATTGAACCGCTGCCTAAGGGTTGAAGGTCATAGGTGACCAACACCCCAAATTTGACTCACTATTAAGCGAATATTGGTCGCCTAAAGTACCTCGTTACGATCTCTACCCGTACTGTCTACACATGTCGCAACAACCCGCTATCTTACCGCGTTCTGCGGCGCACGATAACAGTCCCGGAAGTATCAGGGGTTTCTTCATTTTCATCACTATCATTACTATCCTCTCTATTTCGCTTCGTTTCTGGTCACGATGCATCCGCAGCAACGCAGGACTCGGTGCTGGGAGACATACTCAGCGTCTGTGGTGGGATGATTGGGCCGCTTTAGCAGCCGTGGTAAGTGACTTTGTGATGGTTCTTTCAAAAGCCCAAAAGCCCAAAGGGGTGAGATGAGGAAGAAGAGCTAAATAACATGTACTACGAGCTATGCAAAATGCTAACTTCATTTCCATGGCAGCCCTGGATCCTCGGCCTCTGCGGAGTGGCATTTGCTATGGGCTTCTATGGCCTCGGCCACCACGCTCAGTTTGTCGATTCAAAGGATCTAGCCATCTTCCTTAGATTATTGTATGCAGTATACTACGTCTACGATATCGGCCTCTTTTTCACCAAGCTCTCTGCCATTCTGTTTCTCTCGCGCATCTTTCCCTGGCACGCAAACTCCAAGTGGTTCAACTACACCATTGTGGCTACCCACTGCCTCAACTGTGCATGGTTGGTCGGAATCATCTTTGGTACCATATTTATGTGCAATCCCGTGCAGAAGGGCTGGAATCCCACATTACCTGGACACTGCGGTACCACCAGCGCCCTTTGGCTTGGAAGCGCAATACCCAGTGTCATCATTGACCTCATCATCCTGCTGCTGCCCGTGCCAAAAATCTGGTCCCTGCAAATGACCACCACGCGCAAGCTGGGCATCATTGGAGTCTTTGTTATTGGTTACAGGTAAATTGTTGGACTGTGGCAGTAATTATCGCGTCATGACATTAACTAAAAACAAACAAACAGTGTCATTGTCGTTTCTCTTGGCCGACTCACAACAGTTCTGCTGACTGGTAGTTCCTTGAACTCGGATATTACCTGTACGTCAGAAGTCTCCGATACCCAATACCCCTGTCCTGTACCTAATATGTTCATTCTTTATAGACACGGTTGTTCATCTAGCCTACTGGGTTGGTGCCGAGGCGCCCATCACCATGCTGTGTATTTGCCTGCCGCCCATGACTACTCTGGGCCGGTATCTAGCCAACAACTACTTTTCCAAGATATCCAGCAGAGTTCAGTCTCTGTTTAGCACCATTAAGGGCAGCAGAGGCACTGTGGCATCACGGAGTTACTCCGCACCGGATTCGCAATCCCAAAGTATTGCGATGCACAGGAGCTCCATGAAAAAGAGCGTTGACAATGACGGCCACAGCCTGGAGTCACAGGAGAGCTCTGCGCATTTATTTCCCCACGAAGACGCCAATTACTATGCTGGCGCTAGAGCCAATATTTCTTACCCTCGCTCGGGTACTCATGGTACAAGCCCGCTTCCGAACTCTGGCGATACTGGAATTCGTGTAGACAGCATCGTGACTGTCACGCAACGTGTGAGGAAATAATTGACTTTGGAGACTGTAGTCATTGTCCTTATGTAAATGTATAATATTTTCGTTACCTTCTCATTTCTTCCTCCGTATGACCGTAATCGCATTGATCCCTTGATGGCTTAGGAGTTTATATAATGGTGTCAAAATCTTGTTATACCACTGCGCCCAGCAAACCTGCCTTGCACTGTGTGCTTATCTACATTGAAGTTCTCTCATGGATTCTACATTTTAAGGATGTTTATCAAATAATAATATCTTCAAGCTCCCCCTTGATTGCAAATAAACTACCATTACTATTCGTCCTTGTTGATCCATCGCTTGGTGTCGCCATTGATCTGATCCAGCAGCGAAACCCATCTATAACCAGCAACCGTGTGTGCAATGCCAACAAGTTCAGACTTTCCCATAACGGACACAGCTTCTTTCCATGTAGCATCATCGAGTGGCGTCTTAAGGTCGGTTAAAATGCGACCGAGGCGATACGCCATGGCCTCTTCGGCGGACAGATCCGCGGGGACTTTTCCGGCCAAGGCGTCCTCAAACTGCTCAGGAGAAAGGCCGCATTTCGAGCCGATCTTGCGATGGCAGTAGTCGACATAGGGCACATCCAGCACCGAGGAGAGGCCAAGGATAGCCAGCTCTCTATTGCGAGGCTTGACGGTGCCGGGCGCATACAGTGTCTTCGCCATTTCGAAGAATTGGCCGACGAAGGCCGGGTTGTAGCTGTATTGAATGGTTAGCTTCGGTGAAATTTAGATCAAGGAACGTGTATTAGTTTGCTCAGCGCCAGCCCAGGCAACTTGGCAAATAGGGCTTAGCGAGCTCTCTCATGCCGCAATAATTTCCTATCAGTGGAAAGCAGGCTTCCATACCTCAGCGATGCGTAGCATCCAAGTAAAGAGCTGCCGTCTTCTTCAACCCACTGGAAAGGGATGTCATTTTGGTGCATCACTGTCAACGCATCGTGGATGGTTTTTTTGGAAGCAGCGTGCTCCTTCTCGTCGTATGGAAAGCGATGGGTCATGGTGAATGCGCGGTGATCCTGTCTCTGTCTCTTTTGTTTGTGATGTATAAAGGTCAACTGTACCAAGGAAAAAGACGGATGTCTATACACGGCGCAAGGCTTACACCTGCTGCTTTCGCAAAGCCTACCTCGGCTGACTGACTCGATGTGCTGCGGAATGTGTACTGCTGCCTGGCTAACTGCTACTCTGTTTCTGGGGGGACAAATGCACCGGTAGCGGTTAGTTTGGGGGCGAGAATAGATGAGTATGATCATTCTTTGCGATATACCTAGCCAAGGCTCTCAGAGGCTCTGAGGTGATCTCGGGGCGCCTAATCCCTCGATTGCACGCTGTCAACCTTGTAACGAACTACATTAGTCTCCTTCCTTTTCAGGTAAAGATGTTCACATCTCCACCTGTTTTGTATTTGAAAAATAACATCAGAATTCCTTAATCGATATGCTATATTAGACCTCTAATAGGTATATCCTCTACTACCAGTGAGACAGAGACACATGCAGCTATCTAATTCTTTGATTAACAGCTTTTCATCTTGCTTGTGCCTGCATAAATACATGGGAATTCAGTCTCTATACAATGATGGGAAAGCACATGAAATAGGATTGTATAGGTAATATCATTTCCATGCTTCTAATAGTCCATCGCCCTGTTCTTTACATAACTATTGAATAGGCACGCGAGACGCTGACATAGCAGGTAGAAGAGACAGATAGGAGGCTTATATAAAAATTTAACTGAATGTTTATTGTACAAAACAAGTGGGGTGGTATATTACCGCTATATTAGCGTCTGGGCTCAATCTAGCATTTTGTACGGTTGACAGGGTGCAATCGAGGGGTTGGATCAGGCGGATCTTGGGGGCGGACCCTGACCCGTGACGGGTCAAATGGCCGAGAGTGTAAAAGTACCCGCGGAGTTATAGTGATTGTCAACTGTCAAAAGAAAAAAACAAAGAACCAAAAAGCAAAATAAAGCAATACAGTAGGAGTACGGAATATTTCAAACAGGAGGATCAATTAACTCATGGCATCTCTTGAATAGATACAATACTTCTATCTTACTATACTTTCGCCTTGTCTGTGCTCGAGATCAATATCAATCACTTCCACCTATCTAATAATAAGACTGACTCAATTCTTATCATCAGCTCATTTACAAAGTACGTATTCATGCATCCACCCTTGCATGCCCGCAGGCAAACAAATTAAGCGAGCCGGCTGAGGGGAGTAAGAGGCTCGGCATATCAATCCGTCCACAGTCCAAACATGATGACTCCGGCAAACCTCCGAGAAGTCTGCAGGGGTCGAGAGGCTGCCATGATTGGCGGGGGGCCTTACAGTGTATGAGAAGCTGAAATCACCCCTCATTAGCCATATTCCGACGGTGTATGTCGGACACCTGATGACTCTCAGTAGAACTAGTATACCGACCGTGGCCCCCCAGCAGGCTGACGTGGCACGGGCCGCACGAGGGGCCAACCACTGATTTCGGCGAGCGGTTTGCGAAGCCGTAATACCATACTTACCTCTTTCCTACTCTGCCCCGTGGTGAATATCACTTCCCTTTTCGAAATACTACTATCAGCGCGGTAAGGACTAGTCTATGTGGAGTATAAGCCGAAAGGTCTAATATAGCGTTATACTAAGTTACCTAATATTCACTAGACTGGACGAGCCAGCCATCGTCGGGTAGTTTACTACTCCACTTGAAGCTGGCTGTGCTTCTAGGCCCGAATTGAAGAGCTGACGCTATTAGGCAATATTTTAATATCATTTCACATGCAGTGGGGTCTGTACAAAAACAATTTGGATCCGCGATCAGTCATGTCAGCCCGGGGCCTCGTTGTTGCAAGGCAGATTTAGCAAGCTATCCGTTCATCAGCTGCTCAAACTTGCGCCGCATTCTCAGTAACTCGCCAAGCTCCCTGCAAGCTCAGAATCAGCTCTGAACACTGTCTTCCCAAGTATACCCTGCATATCAGTAGAACACCATCCATGTAAATTGACACTAGGAATAAACTCAGTCAGTAACGAGGATTAATAACCTATCATAGATTTCACCACAAAATGACATCGTCACAACCGCCTTTGAACATTGTTGTAGTAAGCTTTACCTACGCTTCCAGTTACACGGAACCAAGGCATCGTTGACAACTCATGTTTCACAGATCGGAGGCTCTCTGGCGGGACTAATGACCGCCGTGGCACTGAAGCAAAACGGGCATAATGTGACAGTCATTGAAAAGGAAGACAATGAACGCGAAAGCCACATGGCTGGCGTTTGTCTGGGACTCGATGCTGTGGAATTTCTCGAAAAATACGATCGCGTTCAGGGAGTTTTCTCTCACCAGTCGCGTCGTATTCAGGCCCTTGTGGGCGACGACAAGCTGAAGACCTTTGTCAATGGCCGTCGAGAAATCACAAATTGGGATACCATGTACTACCGGCTTCGTTCCAACTTTGATGGCTATGCAAGCGATACCTACCCTACATCCCCTTTGCCCTCTCCAGAAGATGGCCAGGGTGTGTATCTTGCTCAAACGGAGGTTCTCGATATTCAACGTGAAATACAACCTGACGACGACGATGACAGCGACGAGAAGAAGACGACAATGAGCCTCACGTTGCTGGACCGCAAATCAGGAGACAAGGCCACTATGCAGGCCGACCTGGTGATTGGTGCAGACGGCCCGGATTCTTTTGTGCGGAAGAAGTACCAAGGCCACGTTGAGCGGAAATACGTTGGCTACATTGCTTGGAGGGGCACTGTCCCGGAGAGTGAGGTGTCGGAAGAAACCCGTCACCTCTTCAGACGCAGCGTCACTGTGTATATGATGGACAAACAACACTGCATCGTGTACACCATCCCCGGCAAGAACGGATCACTGGAGCCCGGCGAAAGGTATCTCAACTTTCTCTGGTACACAAACGAGACGAAGGAATCTTTGGACGAAATCTTAAAAGACGGCCTCGACGGCCATCGCCATCACAACATTGTCCCGTCCGGTCGTGTGCGACAAGATATCTGGGCTGAACGAACAAGGCAAGCCAAGGCCCTGCCACTCAGCAAGCCAATGCTGGAGATTTTTCTGAAGATCCAGCGTCCTTTTATTCAGGTCATTACCGACTTCTGCTCACACCAGGCAGCCTTTGAAGATGGCAAGGTCCTGCTGGTTGGCGACGGACTGTCGCTGTTCCGTCCGCACACAGCCTTCAGCGGCACCCAGGCGGCGTTTCATGCCCTCCGCACGGCTGAGTTCGTCAATGGCAAGACAACCCTGCAACAGTGGGAGAGCAAGGTCCTTAGGTACTCGCGGCTGCACTACCTGCAGAGCAACTGGTATGGAGACTTTTATCAATACCCCATGTCGACGGCCCTCGTGGCTGCTGTGCGCTACTGGATTATGTGCGGCGTTGATCGCGTCTTGTCCTGGTACAACGGCGATGCTCCGCTCTTGCGCACAAGCACATTCAAGAGTGAAGCATACGACGACGAATAAAGCAGGCCGAGGAATGGCCTCATTCTATCAGGGAGGTGTCGTTCCACCCCATACTGGACGTCTATAGTAACTAGGAGGTCAAGTAGGTGGGATGAGTATCTGAACGGAAAATGTGAACTTGACACAGACATAGGCTACTAGAAAAAAGGACATTGACATAATAGCCAATAACCTTATGTTTAGTTAGCTTTATATATAACCATATATTAATCAGCAATACTTTCTACAATTCGAATTTCAGACCTGTATAAATGATTTGGATTTTTGACATTTATATTTCCCTTTTTGCCATTTATTTTCATCATTCTAACCATCTTTCTCTATACTATTATTGACCTGTTGACCTGTTCAATCTTACATCATCTGATCTGAAGCAAGCAGGGAGTTATGCACAATGTTGGACCACGCGGTGCGAGTGAGCCGCTCAGGCTGTTCGAACCTTGCGGTCGCGCAATGATGCCCGATTTTGGCGAGGTGTCTCGTTACCTCCAGGCAAGCGGCTGTAATTAAACCGAGCCACTACTACCCATGCTAGCGTCTTTATTGGGAATGTGGTCCTTTGTCTTGTCTGGGTCCTTCCCGTAAGCACTAACTGTAACGCTGGCGGTTGAGGAGGGGGGCGCGGCAAGGCTGGGGCCAGAACAACCGGGTGTGCTCAGTGCTCAGTGACTACAATTGGGGCTGCGGGCGCACCCGACTAGCGCAAGGGGGTGGGGCACATCAAGGCTGTGATCAAGAGCGCCATCCAGTCGTTAAATTACCTGTGGCTGTCCATTCTTTGTATGTTGTGATCGGCGGTGACACAGGAAAACTCCTTGATTCCCCGTGCCTGTCAGCGGACCGATGTGGCACAACAAGGCTATGTTGATGATAAAAAGCGCTATCCACTGACTCGCTAGGCAGTTACTGTCCATTACTCTATGTTGTGATCTACATTTACCCGGGAGAAACTTTTTGGATTCCCCGTGCAAGCCCGTCAGCACGGCTGGTCAAATCCAGCCCACTCTTCCTTCCAGGCTTAAATCCTTCCGATGCGACTACAGACGGATCAGTTGGCCAGGAACGTACCTGCATCATGCCGCCGACACAGACAACTGCTTCGTCTACAAGCGACAATGTTGAAAAGTCTCTACAGGATGCCACCGTCAGTGACCCGTCGGGGTCTGCTGATGCTGTGACCGGGCGCAAGATCACGGGTGTTGCGTGGTTCGTTGTCAACGTTGCCCTGTTATCGGCGACTTTTTTGTATGCCCTCGACAATACCGTGACAGCAACGGTGCGGCCTGCCATTGTCGACACATTTGGCAACCGCATAGACATGCTACCATGGGTTTCAGTGGCATATCCCATGGGTGAAGTTGGCACAAACCCCATCTGGTAAGATAATCAAGCAGCAGAGCGCACTTGGCGGATCAACTACTAATACTTCTGTTTACAGGGCGAAGCTCAACAAGTTCCTCAATGGTAAATTTGTCTTTCTCGCCGCCCTGCTTATCTTCGAGGTAGGATCTGCGGTTATTGGCTCAGCGTCGTCCATTGGCGCTGTCATCGCGGGTCGCGCTCTGGCAGGCTCTGGCGGCTCCGGCATCTACGTCGGCACCATTAGCATGATCACGGGAATGACGACTGCCAAAGAACAAAACCAGTATCTCAACATTGTCGGAATGGCATGGAGCCTGGGAACCATCCTGGGCCCCATTATCGGATCTGCGTTTGCTGATTCGCCGGCAACATGGCGATGGGCTTTTTACATCAACATCTGCATTGCCGCCGTTGCCGCCCCCGCGTGTATCTGGATCATGCCTTCGGCGCCCCCTAGCGTGTCTCTGGGGATCATGGACGTGATCAAGGCATTTGACCATCTGGGTGCTGTGCTGTTTCTTGGCTCAGTCGTGTCGACAGTCATGCTGCTGGGCTTTGGCGGCGTCGTGTACAGCTGGGATAGTGGCCAGATGATTGGACTTTACGTTGCCACTGCTGTGCTATGGATCATGTTTGCTCTGCAGCAGAAATTCCACCTTCTCACGTCAGATCGTATCTTCCCCGTGCAGTTCTTCAAGGATCCCTTGGTGGTGGGCTTGTGGATCTGGACGATTGTCGCAATTTCTGACATCGTCGTCACCATCTACACGCTGCCGTTGTTTTTCCAGTTTGTGCTGCATGATTCTTCGATGCGTTCTGCAGTCTACACGCTGCCTTTTGTGGCATCCGTTGTGGTCAGTGCGGGCATCAGCGGGGGCCTTCTGGTCAAGTTCCCGTGGTACAAATGCTGGTTCATCTGGGCCAGTGTGCTGCTCCTTATCAGCAACGGCCTGCTGTCCAGCATCCACACGCACACATCTAGGGCTACCATTTGTGGCTATACCATCATCCAAGGCTTCGGCATCGGACCGGTCATTCAGCTTGGCTATACTGTGGGCCAGTTGAAGCGTCCACAGGCGGCACGAAAGGATGTTACCGCGTTCTTCTCTTGTGCGCAGATGGGTGGTCTAGCCTTGTCACTGGGCATCGCCACCTCTGTTCTTGTCAACCATGCCACGGAGGAGATATCGCACATTCTACCAAACGTTCCTCTTAGCGAAATCAGAGGCGCCATTGATGGAGTGGGAAGTAGCGTGTTCGCGACGTTGACCGAACAAGTTCGTGATCAGGTCACCAACGCAGTTACGCAGAGTGTGGCCTCTGTGTTTTACCTGAATTTGTTTGGTGCAGGGCTTGGCTTCCTCATTGCCCTTCCTCTCAAATTTGACAAGCTGGATTTCACTGCGCTGCAATAACACACTTCCTCGTCTGCTCCAGGCTGACTTGGATCTACGTCATAGTTTACTGTTAGTATGATAGAACTGTAATCTTCTCAGTCCATAATAATTGCTCATAAGTCTTCGTATGTATTTTAGAAAAGCAGTACTGAAAGTGCATCATAGCAAGATGCGAGCTATAGTAAGATTTGGAGTAGCAAATGGCACGCAAGCGAGGTAGCATCCATCCCCCAAAATAGCGCACGGCAAGCTAGGGACCATCTCATCCGGCGTAACGCAATGTTACCCAGAATGAACCTAGTCATTAGCTGGGGGCGATGTATAGCCCGCCCCGCAAACCTCGCGGCCATACCTGAGACACTCGCCTGTTGCTGACCGCAGGTGGTGGGTAACAAGCCGGGCAGCCTTGTCCACCAAAATGAAGTGGTGGGCACTAAGAGGCTTACAGGGATCCACGCGTCACAACCATCCCGCGGGGTTGATGCCAGCCGGGCGACCGGCCTGAAGCTATTAAGCCTAGCGTGATCCCATCCACTGCGCGCAACTCAATCCCATCCCCATCCCCCGCACCATTACATCCAACAATCCAACAATATGGGCATTTACACTCGGCTCCCCGAAGGCATCGACGAGGTCGACATAATCATCGCTGGCGGTTTGTTCATCCACCTCTCCTGCTCTTCATAAGTTTATCCTAACGAGCTCTTTTCCTCTCTTGTTAGGCGGTACCGCGGGGTGCGTCGTTGCGTCCAGGCTCGCCGATGCCGACCCCTCGCTGTCCATCCTCGTAGTAGAGGGTGGACAGAACAATAAGGGCAACCACATGATTGCCTTCCCGCTCCTTTTCCCAACTGCACTGCTTCCCACCAGTACCGCAACCCTGTTCTACAAGGGAAATGCGGAGCCCCAGTTGGACAACCGCGAAATGATCGTCCCAACCGGTGGTGTTCTGGGCGGCGGTTCGTCAATTAACTTGATGATGTACAGTCGTGCTCAACGCCACGATTGGGATTCGTGGGCCACTCCTGGGTGGTCCACGGATGAAATGATTCCTTACTTGAAGAAGGTAGGTGATGGGATTTGCGAGTATGTACTACAGTGTTGACCTAACCCGTCATGACCTTGTTGTAGCTTGAGACGTATGAAGGCCCTGGCCCGGATTCTGTTCATGGAAAAGATGGCCCTATTGTTGTGTCTAAGGGAACATTCTACTCTGAGCGTGCGGCAGATCAATTCATTGCTGCCGCCAACGAAGTAGGATACCCGACCGTCAACGATCTTCAAGACCTCGACACTAGCAACGGCGTTCAACGTGCCCTCCGCTTCGTCGACTCAAAGGGTCGCCGCCAGGATGCCGCCAGTAACTACTTGCATCCGAAACTGGAAGATGGAGCGCATCCGAACCTCCACGTCCTCGTTGAGACCAAGGTTATCAAGATCCTTTTCGAGGGCAAACGAGCGGTGGGTGTTGAGTTCAAGCCAAACCCTGCCTTCCAAAAGGAAGACAACACCAAGGTTCAACGCGTCAAGGCCAGGAAGCTCGTAATCGGTTCCTGTGGCGCTCTCGGAACCCCATTGCTCCTCGAGAGGTCCGGTCTCGGCGACGAAGCCATCCTCAACAAGGTGGGCGTTCCTGTTATCGCCCATCTCCCTGGAATCGGCCGGAACTACCAGGATCATCATCTCTTGATTCAGACATACCACAGTGCCTTGGAGCCGGACGAGACGTTTGACGCCCCCTTGGCCGGTAGAATCAACATGGAAGAGTTAATCAAGTCAAATGCGCCAATCATGGGCTGGAATGGCCAAGATGCCTCCTGCAAGCTGCGTCCCACTGAGGCCGATGTCACTGCCCTAGGACCTGAATTCGAGGCGGCATACGCAAGAGACTACCGCCCCACTCCCAACAAGCCCCTGGCACTAATGGCTTTGCTGGGCGGGTTCCCTGGTGATCCATCCACCGTTGAGCCAGGACAATACCTCGCGACCTCTTTGTTCACCGTCTACCCCTACGCCAGAGGCCATGTCCACATCACAAGCCCCGACCCCGACGCGGATATCGCGTTTGAGACTGGATTCTTAAAAAGCGACTTGGATGTCAAGAAGCTCATCTGGGCGTACAAGAAGCAGCGAGAAATCGTCCGCAGAATGGATGTCTACCGCGGAGAGTTTGTTGGCGCCCATCCGCCGTTTGCCGAGGATTCGGCGGCAGCTCTTGTCAGGCTGGACAAGCCAAATGACAAGAACATTTCGGACATCCAATACACTGCAGAGGACGACAAGGTCATTGAGGGCTGGGTGCGCAAGAATGTCGGCACTACCTGGCATTCACTCGGTACTTGCCGGATGGGCGCGCTGGCTGATGGTGGCGTGGTTGATGCTGACCTCAATGTTCATGGGGTTGAAGGCCTGAAGCTCGTAGATCTGAGCATCGTTCCTCAGAACATTGGCGCAA